AGGTACTTCCTCCGATCCGGCTCTGGGATTGGCTCAATACTTGGCGAAGTTGTAACATCGTTACAGAGACGTGTCTTGACTATCTGCTCTTATAGCTTATAGCTCCACAGCGCGCACGCTGCACGTCTTAAAACTTGCTGTAATTAGTTTCTTGTAAGGGATTTGTATATATTTAACAAAAATTACACCTATTCTAGAAAACTTGACGTTGGTGTTTTGTCTGCAGTGTCTAATATGATAATAAACTGATGTGATTCGGGTGATTGTGCCTAAGCCCGTAAGGTGCTGGCGGCTCGGTTCGTGCGGGGGTCTCGAAACGCTTGGTATCACTGGAGTGGAGTGTTCTGGTGCAGTTGAACAGGTTAGCTGTTGAATACGCTTCTTCTGTATGCCTCAAGTATTATAAATTCCATGAATTTGCTCAGCAACTATGTCTTGCAACACGGAACACCCAGTCGTACTTGGTATCAAGGACAAGATTCATCGCCCATGAGAAAGCCGTCCAAGTCACTCACACCCAACGTCCCCACTGTTCTCCGTCCAGTACCGAGACTATCTGCAGCCATGAAATCCCCCTTTTTCCAATTGACCCAGCTCGTGCTCACAATCCGCGTCTCGGGTTTTGGTCGGGCTGTCAGTCTGAGGCCTGTGCCTAGATTACACCGGAGGACCTTCATGTCGATTTTTCCGCCGCAGATGCTGCGTAGGATGTGAGTCACGGGACTGTTGTCATCGCCCCAGACACTGCCGTATGTGTTTTCGCCGGGGAAGAGGATGCGTGCTGTGAACTTGGTAAGGGGTGCGACATCTTTGGGGAACAGTGTTGATATGAGGTGAGCGAGAGCCGTGGGAGCATGGTTTGCGGTGGATTTGGAGAAGGGAGGAAATGCTATGGCTATGTTTGACGAGCGGCGCGACTCTCGCGGGAGTGGTACGCCCATGCGGAGCCGTGGACGGGACGAATTGACAGAGGCACCATGGCGGACAGGTCGTCTGGCCGAGGGGCCTGACGCTCGCAAAAAGCTCGTTGTAGGACCCGACGCCGGGGTGTTGAATGAATTTGCTGCGATGCTGCTGGATGGTGTTAAATGCTCCGTGTCGCTTGGATCGGAGGGCATGGGCTCTTCTTCCTGAGCAGCAGTATAATATCCAGAGATGTATACTCTCCGAGCTTGCTTCAGCAGGTAGGGATACTGGCTTTTGAGCACCACCACCCCGTACGGGTATGACACATAGAGTGACAGCCCTTCTCTACTCTCTCCATCGTCTTGAGGGACACCATCCGTATCGACTGAAGAGCGTGCCTGGAGAATATGTCTTCGTCTCCGTATACAATCGCTGAGCTCGTCTTTCACCAACCGAGAAGTCAATGACAAGGCCAATGGTGCTGGAAGTCCCAGCTTCTCCCCCTCGATATCATCAATGTTTCCACCGTCAATGGCGATGGTGGGGGGCTTCGCGACGGAAAGAAGGGAGGCATCGTGTCGGCGTCGTGCCAGCGGTACGAGGTTCGGTGGCAAGCCTGGGATTTCCGTCTTGCGGGCGCAGTCTCGCAGCCCGCTACCTCGACATGTAGTATATCCTGCACTAATGGTAATGGCGTATGGCTCAGCGAGCAAATAGTCGTAAATCTGACATCGTATCTCGGTGGGTAGGGATAAGAAGCCGCTGTAGGTGTTGCACGGGACGTCCATGTTGGGAAAGCAGGGGTTCGTCAAGGGCCTGCCTTGGGTGATTGGGTCGTATGTCGAGTGAAAAGAGCAGGGTAGAAGAGGCTGGTGTTGCACGCGATGTTCAGGCACGCGTTGTAGGTTGTTCGTGTGGATGCTTGTAGGTGGCTCTCTAGCTCGAGCGGCGAGTACCATGGAGAAACAGGACGCCGACAGAGCCTAGGGCAGCTGGAGAGGTTTCGTCTTAAAGCAGATGCGATGAGCGGTACACCAAGAAACGGCCAACTCAGACGGCGTTGGCGTGGACATGTCGTGTTGTCGAATCGGAAGTGTGGGGTGCGCGGCGGTGAAACAAGCAAGTGCCCTGCATGAGCGAGTCACGGTGGCGGGCCGCGAGCCTCACGCGACAAGGCGAGTCACTTCCCGAGGCACATGGCCGCACCGCCCAATCATGCCCCTACACCCGGTGCTGCTTCACGCCAAGCTGTCACAGCCGATGACTCTTTGTAGGCCGAGTGGAGTCGAGGGAATAGTCATCTTGACATTGCACGTGTCGTGTTGCTCGAGTGATGTTTACTTGTGAGCACCAACACCTAGCCTACCGCCCACGCCACTCTAATCGTCGTCGCTATCTTCTGCCCTCTGTTGCTCGGCCAACTTCTGTGCCTGCTCCCACTGCATCGCAAACTCTCTTAGCTGCCCCTCTCCTCCCCTGCTCGCGTCCACCACGTCTTTGGGCAGCTTGTGAGCGCTGTACTGCGGCGTCGTGAAGCCGTACGCCTCGGGGTCGTCTCTCCTTACCAGGCGGAACTCGGGCTGCCATAGCTCCTCGATGTCATCGTCATCTGAGCTGTCGTCTTCGTGTGCATCGCTCGCTACGGGAACAGCATCGCTCGTTTCTCCCGGTTGAGCTATCTGCAAACGCACACTCGTCTCCTCGGTCGGTGCTGTCTCGGGTACCTCCATGGTGAGCAGTTCCATCCACGAGAAGATTAGAGGATCTGTCCGTACGGCCCACGGATTAAAGTCCATTAGCCACACCTTGTCGTGGGGTGGCGGTACGTAGACGTCAAAGGTGAAGTTTGGGTCGGGAAAGGTATCGCGCAGCTTGGCGTCGAAGAAGGCCTGGATGGTGTCGCGTAACTTGTCCTGCATCTTGAACAAGAAATCAAAATGATTCAGGTCCCGCTGGCACAGCGCGATCAACCGCCGGTCGCGCACAAAACATCGAAACTCGACACTCGGGTTGAGAGTTATCCACTTTCGCAGAACGAGATGGTACGGTATCGCTGCGTCTGACGTCGTGGATCCATCGGCCGTGTCATCAAAGGCGTGGGCAAGGTCGTGCGTGACAAAGTCGCTGCTTTTCAACAGTAGGTAAATGTCGTTTGGCGTGCGGCATTCCATGCTGTTTGTTGCTGCTATCCAGGTTGCGTCCTTTGGCGCACTCCAGTTGAGCTTGGGTGCGACCTTGCCGCCCAGCTCCTCGATGGTGCGCTCAATGGCTTCGTGCGTGTCGCGCCACTCTGCGCTTGGGTCTACACTCTCCTCGGCCTCGTCGTCGTTGTTGTCGGCGCCCGAGAAGATGCCGCTGTCGTTGTCTGACCACGACGGATTGTCGTTCTCTTCGGGGGGCAGGACAATGCCGTCTGCGCGGAGGTATTCAAGGAAGGCGGGCGGAAGAGGCACGAGACGCGCTTTGGGCGTCACTGCGCGGTATCTAGTAGGGTTAGACTCGAGAATATTTCAAGGAAGGGCGGGACGACTGACTTTGGGTGCCAATTGTGGTATGAGCAATTCAAGATGTGCTGCTTGGTGACTGGGGGAAAGGGCAACTCTCTGTAGCCCATTTCCGCTGGGCCATCTCCGATGTTGTCGCCTGCTGTCTCCTGTGCGCTCATGGTGGTCGATGTATGGGCGCAAGCGAATATCCAAGACGGCTGTGAACGTGTATCGGGCAAGGTGGCGGCGCCATTGCTGTGTGAGTCTTCACATTCCACGGAAAGTTTTGGTGGGGCAGCTGTGATTCCGTCACTAGGCAAGCTCGGGCCTCGCCGCACCCCCGAAGTCTCCGCAAACCATCCCCCGACCGCGTCTCTGTCCTGCCCACCTGCACCACCTGCAACCCTATACGAGACGGTCAATCACCACCCCCAGAATACAGACCATGGCCGACAACGTGGGCCTCACTACCCCAAGAGGAAGTGGCACCTCTGGCTACGTGCAGAAAAACCGGTCGCTCCTCAGACCACGCGACAAGATGCAGCCATATCCAAAGGAATGGGACCAGGCCAAGCACCGCCCCAGACAGCCAGACGCCGAGATCCTCGAGCACGAAGCGAAGCGCGAAATCGAAGTCAAGGTCCTGGAGCTGCGCGACAAGCTCGAGGAAGAGGGCGTCGACGAGGATGAAATCGACGACCAGTGTGAGGGGCTGCGTCGCAAGCTGGACCAGGAACGCAAAGACGGCAAAGACATGGGCCCCAACGCAAAACGGCTCAAATCGCATCAGGTACACGACCTGGCCAAAGCCAAGATGGAAGAGAGCGAGAGGCTGCGCAAAGCGCTGGGCATCAGTGAAGACTACGAGGAAGGCAGCCACTGGAGGAAACAAGAGGAGAGAATGCGCGAGAGTCTTGCCAAGAGAGAGGCTGAAGATGAAGAGAAGCTGGACAAGGCCAAGGAGGCCCGGCGCTACCAGGAACATGATTCGGAATAAGGCCTTTGCCGCTTCGTTTTTCACCAAAGCACGCGTATATCTGCGGCATGCGAGATGCATTGGCGCCGGACTTCAAGTCTTGATCTAGCGGCTGTGGCTGCTGTCTGGCCACAACCCAAACCCAGTAATGCGCTAGTGTGGGAGGCCCAAATAGATGGTTGCAAGGGCCCACGATGCCAAATTCATGTAAAGGCTGGGCACGAGCAGGTCAGCCTATGCACTAGTCCACAGTCTGGATCTTCGGCTGATGTAAAACAGAAGACTGCCAGAATATCCACACGACAGTCGTCCTCCCCGCCCCTCGTTTGCCGCATTCCGACCAGCCAACATGTCTGTGGCGTTTGTCTGCTAATTGTGCATTGGTATTCGTGGTGTCTATGCGACGCCATGTCATACTCTATAACTCGAATCAGCTACCGCATGTCGTTCTTCACTATCAAGTCGACTGTTATGGATTGAAGGGGACCCACCAGCCTAATGCAGGAACCCTCAATACCATGTCAATTCTTCCATCTATGGCCCGGTCGTCCTCCACTGCCGATGCACAGCCAGGATGGTGTGTGATGGCAGGGGTCAATCGTGGAGCTGTTGCGCAACTCATCCAAGTATGGTTCAAGGTGATTTCCGGAATCCGTTCATGTTGCCGGAAAGTCGGAATCCATTTGTCTTGGCCTGACCTCGGATGTCTCGAGCCAGGGCCTTTCCATGTACGAAACATTGCAATGCTACACGTAGTAAATACCTGGTATGTGAATACTCGAGAGCTTGTCGACGATTATCCTTTGTCTGTAGCGCCCTGCTCAGCCCATGTTGCTCGTGTGGGCGACGGGCGGGGCGTGCCCAGACATTGGGTGTAAGACACGTGGGGGGTCTGACTGGCCAGTATCTAACGAGGACGCCGGGCTTGATTGGGCCTAGGGGCGTGCAGTAGACCAACTTGGCCCTTGGAGGCACAACGCCGACCTTTTCCAAGAGCACCAACTGATGGGTTCGTGAAACGCCTTGCCGTCTCCAATGCGGGTGTCGTATCCTGTAACTTTTCGCCCAAGCCCATAGCGTACCGCCAACTCCACATGCACGCCTCTCTCCGCCCCATTGGCTGTGACATCAACACCACCGTTCCGGCATCTTGGACGTATAAACAGGGTCCCTCCGCTTTTGCAGGCTCAATCCTGCATTCCGTAGCACTGTCACAGCACGTTTTAGTGCTCTGATTGCCACCATGGTCCGGCCTGTCGCCGTCGTTCGGGAAACATGGCACATATACACGCCCTTGGAGCGCCGTAACATCGCCATCTACATCGCCGGCATCATGATGTACAAGTTTGGGCTCGAGGCTTTCAACGGATCCGTCATCGCGCTCGCCACGAATCGATACGACGAACTTGAAAAAAAGACGCACATTTCCATCACCTTCCAACGAGTCGGGGTTCTGACAGGGCTCAACCAGGCCTTTCAATGCATAGGATCCATCTTAATTGCACCACTGATCAAGCGGTACCCGACCAAGAACGTGCTGGCCTGTGCGATACTTATATTTGCATTCACGAGTAGTCTTTTGCTCATACTGGATGCTGCCACTGGTGGCAAGTTTGTGCCACGCGGATGGCCCAAGGACGACTTTAGCTACTACGGCGATTACAACACGGACGCCATGATACCCATATGTAAGTAGATGCAATGCAGCAGCCAAATGAGCGCCTCGATGCTCAAGTGCCATCTACACTTGCTGACTACCATAGTCTGTGTTTGCGGCATAGTCTACGGCATGGTGGAACTGATCCGACGCGTTATACCCCGAGACCTCGTAGGCGGCAATGTCCAGAAGCTCCGCCGGATGGACGCATTGGTGCATATATTCTACGAAACGAGTGGAACAGCCGGTGCTTTCTGTACGGCCCTTGCCCTGATTCCTCGCTTCGGCAACAACTTTAGCTTCATCATCACGCCCATCTTCTTTGCGGCCGCATCGATACTTTGGTACTTCATCCACGAGGACAGCATACCGAAAGAGTGCAGGGCTTTGGTCTCGGAGGGCCAGCCTAATTACGTCAAGGCCGTTGTAAGCGGCTTCTCCCTTTTCTTCGAGTCTGTTGGAACCGGCGCTCAAATCATCTTCACGCATCGCAAGTTCATCTGGCTGCTGCCTGGATATGCTGTTGCGCTTTATGCCCACCGGTACTTGGAAAACGCCATTGCGCCTGCAGTGGCGCGGCGATACTTTGGCAACTCGGCCTGGTCGCAAATTATTGTTGGTGGATCCAACTTTGGAGAGCTATTGGGAGCTCTGTTCGTCTTCATGTTTACAAACTTGGTGCAGACGCCCATACCATGGCTCCGAATCGACGCGCTCGCTCTCCTCATTGTGTGGTATCTGCCCTTCTGGCGCCCGCCGCAGAACGACGTGGCTCAAGCCTGGATTGTGGGAGCGACCTTCTTGCCCATCAGCTTCGGATGGGCAGCGGGCGACGTGTCGCTAGCGGCTTATATCCAAGCATCACTTGCCCGGATCGAGTCCAAGACGCAAAACGTGTCAGCACTAGGAGCAGTCATGGCATTCCTCTACAGCACGTACATTGTTACGTATGCCATTGCCTCGGCATCGCTCGGAACGTATATTGACCGCATATCCGATCGCAACAACGAGGAGATTCACGGGGCCATCTTGAACGTGGCTGGCGTGCAGTTTACCATTATATCGGCGCTGGTTCTAGCCAGCACATTTGTGCCAAAGGGCGCATTCGCTCTGAACCCGAAGATGCTCAGCGAAGAGGAGTTGGATACCGATATAGAGGACGAGGACCTAGAGTACGTGCCCGGGGCTCATGCGAAGACAAAAGAGAGCCTTGAGAGCTCTGAAATGGTCAGCAGGATGAACAGCTCGACGTAGCGTGCAGGGCTGTCCAAGGCGTACATGCACTAGCGGAAATTGATAGTTCGTTTTTTGCCAGTGTGTGCATCTGATATGAAAGCGCTGGGCGGACATAGTACTGACTCCCGATAGATAAGAGCCCCCACCCGCAGGCGCAGGCATGTTGATGGCAACATCAACATGGTCAACGGCTTACGGCATGTTATACGGGACGCTCCGGCTCTGTCTGACATGTGGTGATGACAAGCAAGAGGTCGACGGCAGGGATGCTAAAACGGCTCCATGGGCATCGAGCAGAGGCGGCACACGTGCGATGATGCTCGACGCCCATTGCTCGCGGGGATCACGTCCAAGGCGTGAAAGCAGCAGATCTCCCCGCAGCGGCGCATGGCGGAGCTCGATGCCTGGCACCCACGGCGGAGGCTCGTCGATGTCGCGCTGTGTGTGTGCATCGCCAACACTTCCCCTTCCCCCAGCACTCGGCGCTCTTTGTCTTGAGACAGGGGCGTCGACCGTCACGCATCCATGGCTTGGCGCCCATGTGCTCACGCGGCGCCGCGTGGTTGGCTGCCGCCCGCGCTGCCCACCTCCACCTCCACATCCCCCCAGCCAAAGCTTCACTTCCCCCCCCCCCAGTCCTCCACTGTCGCTGCATCCCCATTTGCTTTTGTCGCATCATGCGCAAGCATGGCGCGCGGGACTGGTTCCAGATCGCCCAGCGCCCGACCCGCACACTGAGGCCAACGCCCATCCGTCCACTCGCACAAGCTCCCCGTTACCCGCCTGCAACTCTGACACTGACACTGACACTGCCACTGCCACCGCCCGGCCTACATACCCAACGCTGCTCACCACGCCCAAGTCCCTCAGTCCCGTGGCTTCGCTCCGTGTCCATTTTTCCGACGTTTGCGCACGTCTCTTTGCTGACGACACGTCTCTGGCCCAGCACCGTCTATTTGTCATATCCCTTGGGCAGGCGCCTAGTTCGACGCATCCAGCTATTAGTGTATCCATGTTAGCCGCACCCATCCTCTGATATCTAATATAGGCCTTGGTTGGCGGGACAATCTTCGTACCCTCTCGCAAAGCCCACAAGGCCGTCTATCCGCTCTGCCATTGTGCCAACTGGAATAAATAATGCAGCCTTATCCACAGCCAGCCATGCCGCCGGTTAGCGACCGAAATGAGGGCGGACATCGGGGGCCGCTGAGTAGGACTTGGCCACAGATATTCAAAAAGAGAAGACGATATAGTCCGGTTAGAGAGAGCGCACAGCAACATCACCACCAAAATGTACAGCCCGTGCAGCCGCCACCACCACCGCCGCAGCAAATACAACCAGTCCAAATACCCATACATGATGTACCGCCAGTCAGAACCCCGTCCACAACGACGCCATCCATTGCTTCGCCTGCCGCTTCTTCCATCAGGTCATCGTCCATCACCGCAGGTTCAGCGAGCACTATGTTATTAATATCCCACGCCTCGTCCGCACCGCCAAACAAAGTCGCCATCGCCAGAAGAAGCAGCAGCATTGCCCCTGCTGATCGCAATGGTACGCAAAAGTCCCGTGACCACGTCAATCCCACAACCTTTCTAACACGTCACAGGAGCCGGCGGCGTAACCACCCCGCAAGCCGACCTGCTCGCCTCCAAATCAAACTACGAACTGATTTCCTCGGGCCAGCACCTAGAAATGGGCTTGCACTTTAGCGCCGCCATGGCCACGGGCGTCATGATGAAGCGCGCGACGCACCGCGCCGCCGAGCAGGCCCGCCGCGACCGCATGAAAAACGCAATGGTCGATCTCGCAGAGTTCCTGCTCGACGGCGAAGTCACCTTTGGCAGCGGAACCACGTGCTTTGTCGTCATGCGCGGCAGCCCCGATGACGACGCTGCTGCTGCTGCTGCCGACAAGAGCAGCATCACTAGTAGTAGTGGTGACGCCGAGAAAACCGCAAAATCAAGTGTTGCCGGCGAAAAGAAAACCGTGAATAAAGCGCGATTAATCGAAATGGCCCTCGAGAAAATGAAGGCCCAGGAGAAGGAAATCGAGAGGTTGAGGCTGGAGGTGGAGATGCTGAGGGCTGGCGAGGCCGAGCCCGAGCAAGAGGGAGATACAATGGATGTTTCGGCTTGACCCCCTTTTTTTTCTCTTGTCTTTCTTCAGCTTCTTTCACTATCTACCACTTTTCTTCTTTCTATCTATTCTGGCATTGTATTGTATTGTATTTTCTTCTTCTTTTTTTTGGGAGGGGGGAGGGGAGGTTTCGTGACTCGGGATTTCGTGCATAACCCTGTTTTGTATCAGTGATATCCAACATTCTACAGTACATATACACATATATCCAACTTCTTCTTCTTCTTCTTCTTCGTCCCATCAATTCACATCCAGAAACGCTTTCTCTTTTTTTTTCCAAAATATCTCATTTTCCACATTCAATTTCATTTTTGTATGTACAATCATGGCAATTTGCTGTTCAACCATGCTCCTCTCATCTCTTCCATTTTCTCCTCCATCCCTCTCGTCACGCCGACACGCCATTTTTCTCGCTCCCATCACTGCCAAGCACATACCGCACGCTCTTCTCCGCATCCACACTGCCCTCCTCGACGCTCTCCGCCCGCTCTTCATCCGTCTCCTGCGCGTTGACGCGCCCCGTGTCGCCGGCGTGGCCCTGCGTCTGGATACGCAAAAAGGGAACAAGAAAGATACCCGGGAACGCGACTGCAGCTGCACACCAGAAGACGGCGGCGTAGGGCTCCACGGCGTTGTTAGCGTAGTAACCGGATTTCGCGGGGCTCTTTTGCACGGCGTCGAAGATGGCGGTTGCGATGCCAAATGTGATTGCGGTGCAGAGGCGCGAAACGGTTTGCAGGAGTGAGCCCGCCATGGATTGCTTGTTGCGTGGCATCGACGAGATGACGTACATCTATTCCACGTCAATGTCATGGTAGAAAGGGGGGGGGGAGAGTGTGTGGAGACTTACATTCGCAACGATATACTGGGTATCGATGCCCACGACACACAGGCAAAACGCCGGGAACGAAAACGCCCAGTAGGAATCGCCTTTTCGCTGTACGGCGGCAAGGACACAGGCTGCTGTTAGTGTGATTGTGCCGACACCGACAATCAGCTTGTTGGAGACTTTGTGCTGGATCAGGGCTACAATGGCGTTGGTGGTGACGCCCATGACGACCATGGGGAGGAGGTGCACGCCCGTCATCAGCGCGCTGTAGCCGAGCTGTGTCTGGAAATACAGTGCGATCCAGAAGTACAAGACCGGGAAGGCGAGACAGCTGAAGCTGAGGATGGCGATGAGCTGTTGTATCGCGTAGTGTGAGTATGCAGATCGGGATGCATGCGTGTATGTATGTATGTAGATTGTAGGAGGAACTTACGAGAGAAAAGTCGCGGTCATACCAGATCTTCATGTCGATCATCGAGTATGGATACTTGAATTCCCAGACGACAAATGCAATGATGAGAAGGGCGCCTAGGATCAGTAGAACGAGAACATAGGGCGTCTTCCAGCCCTCTCGTGCGGTGCCACCGAGACTGTCAGATGTTAGCCTGGGCCACGACGAGCGTGACTCTGGAGCTATACCTTAGTGCAGCACAGAACATGCCGATGCCAAAGATGGTCAGCGCAGTGCCCGGCAAGTCGAGCTTCTTGATGGTCTCTGCATTCAGCGATTGCTTTGGCGTCGTGTCTCTGGGGACCGTGAAGATGGCCACAATGCTCGTAACCAGGTACACGATCGCCAGCAGGTAGAAGGCAGCTCTCCAGCTAAAGACCTGAGTAAAGAGACCCGAGAGAATGGTTCCGAACACAAAACCCATGGGGTTTCCCGCACTGAAGCAACCAAACACCCTGTTCTTCCGCTTGCTGGGCTTCTCGTAGATGACGCCCAGCATACCTTGAGCGGGCGGCACAGCGGAGGCCGAAAAGATGCCTAGAACACCACACAGAATGTCGAGCGTGATGCCATTTTTCGAGAAACCGGCTCCCAGGCTGAAGACGGCAAAGAGAAACATGGAGCCGATGAACATGGATTTTCGGCCAAACAGATCAGCCACGCTGCCGAAGAAAAGCAGCAGTGCTCCTGCAGTGAGACTGTACAAAAAAATCAGCTCAGGCATCTTTCTCACTCCAAAGACATTCTCACGATGTTGAGGCATTCATCCATGTCGTCTCGGCATTGGTCATGTGCAAATCACGTGCTGCAAACGAGCTCATGACGGTGATGGCGCCCTGCAAAAAGCTCGTCATGGCGACCGCCATGGTCACCGACGCGACGAACAGACATTCCTGGAAGAGCGATGCAAAGCATTCAGGCCGGTCGTTGGGATCCTTTTCCGTTATTATTGGCTGCGTATGTGTAATAGTGCCGAGCTCGGCATCTGGATTATCAGTCGCCATGTGTCGCAGGCCTGTCGCGTGATGGCTATGAGGGACAAAAAAGAAACCAAAAACAAGAAAAAAAGCAGGTCAGACTGCAGTCATGATGGTGTGCAAAGAGGAAAGAGATAAAAAAAAAGATATACGACGGAAAAAGAGATAGCCTTGACTAACAAAAAGTCACTTCTGGAAAGCGTACGTCGATCTGATAATACGCCATGTCACAAATCGTGGAATTATTCAGCGCGCGGAACTATTCCCTTCTCCCAGGCTCGTTTGGGCACATCAAACGGTTGGTTATACCGGAATTGGATCGATAATGTGCCGCCCGAGTATAACACCGACGCACATAAGAGACTAGTCTTGACCGTGGTCTTTTGACGGCAGTTGTGACTGGTCTGTGGAGCATTTTGGTGCCATGTGTCAAGAGAGAAGACATGCAGATGTGTCGCATAAATGCTCGAGTCTATGTGGTTGCAAATGCCGTGTATTCGCTGGGTTCCATCACGCGCTAGCAGGTGTTACTCCGGTCGGAGGCGTGAGAGGAACCGGTGTCATTTAGGGAACGCACGTACGTTCATTCATAACTTGATCACTCTCCACTCACCTAGGTCCATGCGGCTTAGCTGGCCTCCCAACGGACCCTGAATCTCGGTTCCATTGGCCCAGAGTTTCCTGCCCGCCCAGTGTTCTATAAAGCCATCCGGGCCAGATACGATGATCAGCCGCGAACCGGCCTCTTCCATCTTTCGCCTAGTCCTCTTATCTATCTCGCTGGGTTGGATGAATGTCTTTTCCTCGTCGACGTAGTAGTTGACCGTGAGGCCTCTGGTGGCGGCCTCGCTGCGCCTTTTGAGTGCGTCCAACTCGGCGACAATGATGCCTTTGTCCGTGGCGCTGGCCTGTTCGACGAGCGGTGTTTGCGCACTGGGGCCGAATATACTCTTCCACCACCCTTTGCGATCCTGGGGATTACTCTCGTATCTGCTGTCGTCGCTGACGCCGCCCATGCACTCTTCACGCCGCCGGTTTGCCCATAGTATGTGCATCTTGCTTCCGGTGCGTCTTCCCAGTGCTTGGGCGACTTGCATGGCAGGCGCTATGCCTGTCCCGCCCGCGATAAATATAACCTCGATGATGTCGCGGGGAAGCTTGAGCTCGGTGTTGGGGCCTCGCAGCTCAATGGTTGATTGCTCCGGGAGACGGTGCAGATAGGTCGACACCTCGCCGCCCGTCTCCTGGCGTATAAGCAATCTCATGTACTCGGGCTCATGGTTGCCCTTTGTCCTGGTTTCAGCGGCTGGAGGGAGGGGCGTGTATGCGCGGGCGATCTGCAGTTGCGGCTGCTTGATCTGCACGCTCCAAACGCTGCGTTTCGACACTTCTCTGAGGCTCTCGGCGTCGGACACGCCATTGCTGTTGCGCAGGGTGAAGATGGCACTGGTGGACGAGACGGGCTGCTTGTCCACGAGTGTGTAGGGCGTAAAGGTGTGGGGGTTCAAGGTGGCATCGGATGGATCTGGGGGCTTTGCCAGTCGATATGCCGCGCCGCCTAGCGCCGAGGATCCCAGGACAATCAACGGGCCTGCTCTTCGCTTAAGCCAGGCCATGGTTTTGGGTGGACGGGACGCTCGGCTGGCCCTGGGAGAGGAGGTCGACGTGTCGGGCGCTGTGAGAAACTCTTGGTGGTGATGGGGGCCCGGGCGTGCCACCACCCGCTCGACTCAGGCGCGGCGGTACCATGGGCAAAATGCTAATCGATAAGAAAAACTCCAGTGCCAGTGCTAGCGACTTATTTCCCGAGTCCGAATGGATATCCCGGCGGGTGATTCTGGGCGTCCAGTTCCAGTCGACGGCGGGGGCGCCAGGAAGGAGGTGGCAACAGGCCTGTTTCAGCCGTGCGGGCGGAATGGTGCAGGCACAGGCGCAGGCTGCAACCACCGCAGCCCGTGGCCGTGGCTTCCTTCCCGTTCAGGGCCACGGGCGCCTTCCTGGCGTCGGGTGCGCCCTCTAACGCTTTCGGGCACAAGACCCTGCATATGACCCCCAGGCCCGGTGGCGTCCCATCACATCGCTATCATTCACCGACCTTCTTTCTCTCTCTTGCCTTGCCCTTCTCTCCAACGCCCACCTTCTACTCGACTGCGCAGGTGCATCGTCCATCACAGCCGCGTGCAGACCCCCAAGGTGGCCTCTCGGCACCATTTCGACCCACTGCGGCGATTCTCCGGAGTTATCGCGGGATAACACCCTCAGCCCTATCAACAATCCATCGAGCTTTTCAAAAAGAGGCGACGCAGCAGCGAGCCGCATCCACACGGGAACACGGACATCAGCACTTCCCAGGGCATCCCACCGGTATACAAAACCTATTCTACTCTCCCGAGTGTTCCGGGCCGTGCACGTGACAGACAGCCATGGCACCCGCGATTCTGACTCAGCGCCCCAGAATATTGTTCCTCGACGCCTACGATTCATTTTCCAACAACATCGTTGCTCTGGTCAAGCAGAATGTGGACGCGGACGTCATCAAAATGTTCATCGATGATCCAAACCTCACAAAGGCGAACGAGGAGGGTGAGTCGGCCTTTGTGCAGTATCTGCGGACCTTTGACGGTGTGATTGCTGGACCTGGACCTGGCTGGGCAAAATGCGACCAAGATGTTGGATTGATGACAGACCTCTGGAAACTTCGAGATGAGCAACTCCTTCCTGTGCTTGGTATCTGCTTGGGCTTCCAGTCCCTGTGCCTTGCGTTTGGGGCCGATACTGTACGACTCGATGAACCCAAGCATGGCATTATCACAACCGTCCTACACAACGGCCAGTCCATCTTTCGGGGCGTCGAGCGTCTCTTGGCCACCCAGTATCACTCCCTACACATCAAGCTTGGCCACTCCATTCAAAGCAAGCGCGCTGTACGATATCCCACGCAGCTCTGGGAGCCCACCGAGACTTGCCCCGAACTCGAGCCACTGGCGTGGGACTTTGACAGTGAACGCAACGGCGCTGTACTCATGGGCGTCAAGCATATACAGAAACCCTTCTGGGGCGTCCAATTTCACCCCGAATCGATTTGCACGAATGAAGAAGGAAAACACATTGTCCAGAATTGGTGGGAAGACGCTCAGGCCTGGAACCGAAAGCGCATGTTCCGCAATATTCCCAAGCACACTCTGTTGCCAAACACGCCGTCTTCCCCAATGACATTTGAGGATTTCCGACGAGAGCTTGGCTTCCACGCCACAAAACAGAACAAATACTCATCTGCAGGGTTTGCGGCAAGCCTTGACAGTGACACTATCACGCCTCTTGAGCTAGCTTCGCTGATTGCACATGGCGATGGGCAATCACTGCCAGACCTGGCTCCTACCACCGTTCACTGCGCGACTACAGGGAGCGGAAGGCTCACAGTTGCGGATGTCTGTGAGCTTTTCGAACTAACGCGGGGCGAGGCGCTGGTGCTTGAATCCGGCCTACAGACAAACTTGGTGCCCATGGCTGTAGGCACTGGCCGATACAGCATCATCGGCTTTGTCATCCCTGAAGAAACCCTCCGCCTACACTACTATGCCGGATCCCGGAGGATGGAACTAAGAGATGGCAAGGACCAAGTACACACCGATTGGACCGTGAACGACCCGTGGCCGTATGTGAGAGAAGTCATGAAAGGCCTCCAGCCCACGACACCTCCACAAGGAACGACATGGGCACCTTTCTGGGGAGGACTCATGGGGTATGCATCGTACGAGGCTGGTCTGGAAACCATTGGTGTTCATGGCCATGATGAGGCCTCCTATCCGGACATTTGCTTTGCGTACATTACGCGGAGCATTGTGTTCGATCATCAGATCAAGAAGATTTACGTTCAAAGCATTCGCGGTGCTTTTGACGAAGAATGGGTTGCACAGGCAACGGAAAGAATTTATGACCACGCTGGTGTGAAATCACGGGAAAGCACACCGGGCTCGACGGTCGTAGCAGAAGTGGACCCGTTTGAAGCACACGGTACGATGAACCAGTACATCGAATCATGCCAACAGATCAAGGCTGTTGAGAACGAATACTGCGACAAGGTTCGTGCCTGTCAGGAGGCTATAGCAGACGGGCAGAGCTATGAACTCTGCCTTACCACGCGTAACGAAGTTCGTGCTCGCAAACCGACAGCCTGTAGAATCTCGCGTTCAGAGGACAATGAACATTCCTGGAACCTCTACAAGCGTTTGGCCAGTCAGAACCCCGCGCCTTTCAGCGCATACATGCGGATTCACAACGTGCACGTCCTGAGTTCATCACCGGAAAGGTATATTAGTTGGGACAGGTCACAAACTGCGCAATGCCGGCCTATCAAAGGCACAGTGCAGAAGAAACCGGGTGTCACGGCGGAAATGGCCCACGAGATTCTTTCTTCATCCAAGGAGCGGGCAGAGAATCTCATGATTGTCGACCTCACCCGACACCAACTGCATGGTGTATACGGCTCAGAGAATGTCCGTGTCACTCAGCTCATGGAGGTTGAAGAGTACGAAACACTTTGGCAACTAGTTTCGGTCGTTGACGCAGTACCTCGCGGCATCAACAAGCCAACCACCGCTGAGGCCTGGCAAGAGCCCGTGGGATACGCATCTAAGAAGCCCATGAAGCAGTCTGTTCCATACCTCGGTTTCGAGGCATTTGTCGAGAGTCTCCCGGCAGGAAGTATGACTGGTGCACCCAAGAAGCGATCATGCGAGATTCTCCAGAACGTTGAGAACGGGGTGAGAAGGGGCCTGTACTCTGGCGTTCTCGGTTACCTCGATGTTGGAGGTGGTGGCGATTTCAGTGTTGTCATACGGACGGCTGTCAAGATTGACGACGATGAACTGCAAACCGACGACAAGGAGGATGTCTGGCGCCTCGGCGCTGGCGGAGCCGTCACAAGCCAGAGCACTCCAGAAGGCGAATACGAAGAGATGATTGCCAAGTTTGGAAGCACGAACCGGGCCTTTTTGCCTCTTCCCCCACCAAAGGCAAAGGCCAAAGGTCGGAGGGTTGAAATCATTGAGCCTGACGACCCTGAATTTGCCGAATTGCTTGCAAGTATGAGGGGCGGGGAAGAGCTGACGCTGGATGATGCGCAGATCATGCTGAGAGCTGTTGAGCGCGAGCTTAGGAGGAGAACTGATGAGGGCGAGGGCAACAATGCTACAGAAACGGAGTAAATGGTTCACAGGAGTTGGGTTATGTTGGAGTTACTGAGCTTAACCTTGATACCATCTTTCGTCTTAGAGATAGACATTCTGGTTTCAACACCAATACAGTTGTTCATTAGGCAGTTAAGAACAGGCCAAGAAGTTTTTGGAATCACGTATCTTAATTGTTCCTCCTAGATGGACACATGGGGTCATGAGCATATGGTGGCTGACTAAGCCGCAGATAGTGGAAACGTAACATTCGGACTTGTAATCAGCGCAGCATTGCAACCACCACACGCGCGTCCCAAAAAATGGCCATAATGGCGACCGAAGCGCCAGACCCACGGAATTTCAAGACGTGGGAAGACGCGTTCCAATACCCAATTCCTGTGGTTCGTAAGCTCGAACAGCAGCTGCGCAACAATGCCGATGAGAATCGTGAGAAGCTGCGGTCGCTCGTGGGGTACGGGTTTCCCAATGCAATGAAGGAATCAAGGGGACAGAGCTGACAGTACGTAGGGCAAGTTACCGCAGCCTCCTCGACACGGCCGAGACGATCATCGACATGGAAGTACGGATGGATCAAGTCGAGACCAAGCTTTCAAAAGTAGGACAGAATTGCAACTCGAGAGGGCTGGAAAGGATCTCGAACAATGCGGGAAATATGGACGCACACATACGGGGTCGCGGTCAGTCTATACCATTGTATTGCGAGGGGGCATGGGGTTGACAAGAGGACAGATGCGGAGCGCTATACGCTGGCGTCCCAACTCTCGGTCTTGCGCAATGCGCCTCTGGTCATGACACGCCTTATGAAAAGAGAGGGGTCGTATTTGCTTATTGCAAAGGTTCTGGTCATCTCACGACTGCTCCACAAGGCCCTCAGTCAGTCTGCAACGAAGCCCCCCATCGTGGACCTGCTGTGGGAGAGGCTCCTGTCTGTACGAAGAAAGCTCTTGCGGAGGATCGATAAGCGGCTGTCGAGTCCGAGCGGCGAGACGGCAACATTAGTCGAGAGTATGTCCGCCTATGCGCTTGCGACAAGTTCGACGCCGACCGATGTGTTGCACCATTTTCACAAGATGAGATTGGACAGGATGAACAGCGAATTGAGGGCAGGTGGTGATGAGCTTGCGAAGCATGGTATCGATGCGCTCAAGCTGTGCATCCAGACGTGCCTTGATACCCAAACAATCTTCCCGCGACGCTTAGCAGAGGCACTAGGAAAGCTGAAGACGCACCCCTTGATCCAGAATCGCGACGTCCGCGGCCTATATGAGCTGAATCTAGACGTGCACGACCGTTGGCTTGGCGATGAGGCACGGAACTACACACCCTGGCCGCGCCACGATGAATTACAGCGGCCAGAAGCCGAACGGATTTTGCACCGCTGGTCCAGGGATGCCATTGCCGCTTTTCTCAAGGGTGTCAAGGAGACGCTGGAGAGCGAAGAGCGATTGCAGGAGGTTGCGAACCTGCGGCAGGAACTCATTGAAACATGGATCCTGTCGGGGTCTCGCATGGCAGGCGTCAAGTCGGCCAACATCCTTGACGACCTGCGCGACACGATGAACGACAAGCTCGAAAGCATTGTGCGGTCACGGACAGACCGACTGCGGACTGTTGTTGGAGAACTTACGGCTCAGCTAGACACTGTCACTGCATCCCAAGCGACCTCGGCACTAACTCTCTGGGGCACACTCGACAAGGCTTCCGATCTCAATAACGGCGCTCAGTCTTTCAAGGCAACCATACTCAACACATACCAAGGCCGAGACGATCCTGTCATCGGCGTTACATCTGCATTTGACAACTGGATGGCGTCGGTCCTGGAAGTCAAAGGGATAGTAAAGAGCATGAAGGAAGCACGCTGGGACGACACCTTTGCCGACGATGTTGGCGATGAATCCGACGACGAAGTTGGCGACTCAAAGCAAACGCTGCTTAGCGACGACGACCCAAAGTTGCTGGAGGAATCCACGCAAGAAGCCCTGAGCGAAGCCATGCAGAATCTCGGAAAAAGTCTCTCTATGATTACAAAGTCTTCAAATGAATCAGATGGCAATGACTCGAACATCCAAAAGGCTACCTTCATCCTCCGCGTCATAAGGGAAATCGGCGATCGCATACCGCAGCTGAAGCTCCAGGACAGAGCTACACCGCCTGCATCTCCCTTTACCAACGACATACTCGAGCCGCTACACCTGACTCTAACATCATTTGTCGCGGAGCCCACGCTGGAAGCATACAAAACGGCGCTGTCAAAATCGCTTAAGCTCAAATCCAATAGCTACATCCTGTGGGAAGGCCATCCGCCACTACCCAGCCAGCCATCGCCCAGCGCATTCCGGTTCCTGCGCGAGCTGAATAAAAAAATGACGGCTGTGGGAAGCGATCTCTGGGCTCCGGCTAGCGTAGCCGTCTTGAAGACCAGAGTCGCCAAGGAAGTAGTCCGGCTTATTGAACAGCATGCCGATGCCATTGTAGCGCCGGAACAAAGCACACCGACTAAGACCACCGAGAAGCCCGAAAAGGAGGATAAACCTGATGGCGAAGAGGGAGATAAAGACGAAAGCAGCAAGGAAGACACCGAGCCTCTTTCTTCTGAAAACGCCGCTTCTTCGTCTTCATCTTCGGAGGTAAAGGCACAGAGACTCAAGCACCTCCTCTTTGACATCTTCTACCTTCAGCGCTTCATCGACCCTGCTGCAGGCGACGACACGGCTGTGGCTGTGAGCAAGAAGATGGATTTGCACGATGTCGACGATGCGGCTGTGACGCGGTTGAAGCGGAGTGCGGCTGATTATGCGAAGAAGACGTATCTCCTTTTTGCGCTGCTGGCTTGAAAACACCTTTAAGACTATATATTCAGTCCAATGCCAATTGAAGAAACTTGTGCTGAATTCTATATTGTCTGTCTGTCTGTGTGTGTGTGTTTTAAAATCCAGCATATATGGATGACTGATGGAGATTCAACCTGTACGTATGCGTTTAGCGGATTTAGCAATTATCGGCTTAACTCGACTTGATTTGACTTGGAAGGCTACGTAGCGCACGCATGCGGACGGGTGAAGTGCAAGGCTCATAGTAAGTGATGCAATGCGAAGTCCTATATAGACCAAGCGGGATCTTAGGATTAGCAGCAGTCATGTTCGTAGAACGCTTGTGTAGTCGTCTGCAAAAGAAATTAGCATAGCAATGGTCATGATGGAGGCTTTAAACGGTTGATCTGGTACAGATATAGGAGGATGGTGTGGATGTCTCTCACAGGATTGCTTATGAAATTTCCAGTAGACTTCCCGGTAAATCTGCCAGTATGCCATCATGCTGCGACATAACGTCGGCAGTCAGTAGTCCGGCTGCTCCTTAACGGGCCACTCCAACCAAAATAAATGGGCGAGTATTTTCACCCATCGAAGAAAGGAGCAACGTGACAGCAATACGAAGGAATCAGACTTCTGATCGAGTAATCACTTTGGATGTCTCGGATATTCACGGGACGTGACTCAGTATGTCACATCGTATTCTCCACTGCCAGACCCAAAAGTCCTTTGATATCCAATTGCTGTAGAAGCTCATTCGCTCATGCCCCCGTCACATGGCACAGACCGTAGCCAATATTACAAAATGCAAAACCCATCCCTGAAGCCTGTTTCTCATTTCGTGCTCACAATGCAGGAAGATATTTTCTGTGCGTCTTTCGAGTAGAGGACAATCGTCCCAGCATCCTCATTTTGGTCATTGGTAGCAACAGCTGCTGCTAGCAATGCTCTGCCGTTGAGTATGGCCGTATTGGGAGAGAGAATCTCCCCGCTGTGCCAAAACGAAATAGCGCCATCCTTGAGCTGTGGTTTGACAACAAGCATGGCGCCGTTTGAATCGATTGCCCAGAGTTGGACTGTGTTGTCATTGCCAAGCGTTGCCGCCAAGTCCGACTCCGTGGCTGCAGTTCCTGGACCGGCTGCTAGTCCTACATCCCAATCGTCACTGTCCTGGATTCGAGCGGCAGTCATGATGCTGCCACTTCTGTCCGCCCAAAACACTCGACTCCCGCTCTGGGGAGTCGAGATGGCGGCCAAACCCTTGACTGGCTGAGTGCCGGCATCGGTCTCGTCGCCGCCATCCCAGACAGTGCCGAGTGTCCCCTTGATGCCGGTCTTGCCTGGCTTAAAGTAGCACACCGCGCCTGCTCGACTGAACCAGATTATCTCACTTGCTCTTGTAACCGTAGACAAGGGGCTGGTGGGATTGGGGGCACTGTCTCCCTTAGCAATAACGATAACGTCGGACCATTCCCCGCCGTCTTCGTCTTCTGGCGGCTCGCTCCCGGCAATCAGCCAGGGAGGTGCCGAGTACATGGAACCGACCAATCTTCCCTTTCCATCCACCCATACCAGGTAGATTTTGTTCGCTCGAACGACGGCGGTGATCGGAATCACGGCATGTGTTTGTCCTTCAAGCTTGGAGCTCACAATCGCTGTGCCATCTACACTGAAAGGGAAGTCGGAAGTGCGAGTGAATTTGAGTGCCACAGTTCCGGAAGCCACAGATACGCATCGGCGTGATTGGATTGAGCCCATGGAATCGATCCAGAAGATTTCTTCGTGCGACGGATGCAGCGAGACATGGGCAACCCCCGATGACGCGGGATGTGCGGATGGGATCCCTTCTCTCGAGGAGCTTCCAGGTGCTTCTATCGAAACAATCTGAGAGGTCTTTCCAAGTTCGCCAGCCGGCCCGCTCACTCGCACGTAGACGCCAGTGACGGTTCCAGCGGTGTTGGCCCACAAGACCGAACTAACAGACGAGAATGAGAGCGACGAATCCGGACTGACCGGATCGGCAAAGATTGGATTTGTGGTTTCAGAGACGAAAATGGGAGCCGATGGAGGCGCCGGAACAGTGTAATGGATTGTGGCTGGTTTGCCTCGGACTGATTTCCGGTTGAATCGGACTGAGATGACGAACTCCGATCCTGGACTGGTTGGCCATGTGGAATCAGTCAGCAAGTTCGTTGACGTGGTCGGCGTGGCCACGTCTATCGGCACCTCTAGCCATGAGGTTGGAGAAGTTGAGGCTGCTGGACGAGCGCTGAGACTAATGGACGAAACAGAAGCAACTTTGGTCCATGATACTGCAAGAGAGGGAGGCACACCCGCTCCACTGCCCCAAACGGCAAGCGTTGGCATCGGAAGTGACGACTGGGACATTGTCAGCTTCCAAGGGGCGCTGGTCTTTGTCTTTTGGAACCGTGAGTCCTGGATCACCAGCTCGATGTTGGCCACCACTGGGATCTTGACAGCTGTTGTCTCGACTATACCAGCACGCACATCGGTATCAACAATCCTCGTCACACTACCACTGCTATCACCACTGCACTCCAGTTCCTTCACTTTGCCGGTATCACGCCGGACTCGGAGGAACACATGACTGTCCTTTGGACGCTCAATCGCCGACGTAAAGGACACAGTAAGCTTGCCGGACTCGAGATCCAAGAATGTCTTTTCCTTGTCCTCGTTGATTGTCAGCAGCGGCACGTAATCGACCTCGAGTTTGTTGCTGGACTTGCTGAACAGCTTCAATCGGGGCCGTTCCTTCGTCGACACAGCACGGGTTTGACACACGGCAGCATTGATGATGTCACCGTGTGCTACATGAACGGATGGAAGTGTGAAGAACGCACTTCTGGAATGCTCAATGCCACGGCCCGAATCAGGATCGGCTTCCACTGCTTCGGCCTTGACCCACATTCCAGACGGAAGAATACCATACACAGTGACGTCGTCTTGTGGGCCAGCATCGCCCTCTGATGAAGGAATAGTCCAGGTGGTCCACAGTCTGCTATTCTTCATGTCCGCACGCACATCCGATACTCGCCCGCCAATTGGAAGGGCAGGAGAGTACACATACTCCGAATCTTGGTACTCATCCGACAGGGAAACGTTCTTCGCTCGCGCCATCGCAGTGTCTGCACTAAACCCATTAGCAGGATCGGCCAGATGCCCAGAACAAGAGAATGCTTCATGCACCACATCCTTTGTGTTGTGCCGAACGTCCCAATATACCATCTCCTCCATATTGGGGCTCGGGCCGCCGCAGACCTGCACCCTCAGCCATTCACTATGGCCCGTGACTTCAACTCTGGCAGTATCATTCGCCGTTTCCACTTCCAGCTCTACAAGTGTCGGGGGACGGAGATATGGTGTGAGGGTGAGCTTGGCAACCGTACTCCAACTGCTTGCCATATACACAGTCTCGTGCATAACCCCCTTCTCGTCCGCCTTGGCTACCTGAAGCGAGGCCTTGACTCGAGCGAAGAACGTCCGTTCGTATGGCCAAGTGGCTGCGTCTTCCAGAACAGCAATCGAGGTTCCTGTAACTGCCTTGGTAACGGGATTCACGGGATTCGTAAAACTCTTGTCGTGGCTCATTTCTACAGTCCACGTGACGTTGCCCTCGGTTGTTAGCTGGCCATTCGGGTCCATCAAGACCATCGGCAACGCCTTGGAGAAGTCAAGCTTCAATTGCCGTTTTTGCGGTTCATCCACCTCGGCAGTGAAAGTGGCAGGCTGCAAGTCCACTACCATCATTTCCTCGAACTTGGCCTTGTGCTCGTTCAGCGCCTTTTCGGCCGCCCTAAGCTTCTCTTCTGCCTCAGCAAACCGCTTCTCAATCTCCTCCTTCTCCTCCGGAGTGGTTGTGCTGTTCTCGGCCACCAAGTTCTTCAAGCGGCGACACGCCTCCAGAATTATCAAGGCCGCTGCCACAGCTGCTAGACCGATCAGAAGCCCCTCTCCAATCGCCAGTGCCGCTCCAACAATCGTCACCACTCCCTCAGCCGCCAACACAACAGCAACCACGCCCCCAACCACACCCACCAGTTTCTCTGCGATTTTCAGAAGATCCCACGATTCATCGATACTCTTGTTGACTTGTTTGTTTCCTTGCTTCGTCAGATCCCTATTCTTCGTTCCCCGGCAAAGGAAGCTCGCGATCAGCTCGGGGGCGAGTTGGTCTAGCGCCAGAACACCAGCTAATATCGCCAGATTGCTTGGATCCTTGACTAGCTCTTCCGCAACCAACCCGATATTATCAAGCACAATCGCCTTGATTGCCGCTAGCAGTCCATTCTTTCCAACCTTGGGCCTGATCCGTAGAGGCCAGTCTTTGAAGTGGACGCTAAAAAGGAAGACGCTGCCGATTTCCGTCATGATGTCGTATTGCCAGGTGAACTTTAGTTCGAGGTCGCCATCTTTGTTCAGGATGCTCCTGTGTTTGCCGCCAAGTATATCACGGTTGGTATTTGGATCGGCATCAGATCCAGATTCCGTCTCAACTTTAGTGTCAAGTGCAGCAACAGTGCCAGTACCAGCCACTGCCTCTGCTCCAGCAACAGCCCCAACGTCTGCTTCTCGAATCTCTGGAACCTTTACTCCCTCTTTCAGTTCTCCCTCCTCTGGTAGCCGGATCCCAAACTTGAACTTGCCCACAATCGTCTTCTCAAACGCCAATTTGACCAGCGGCTCGCATACACATCCTTTCTGCTTCAATATCTTCGATCCTTCTTCCAGAAGCTCCTCCACCTTGGCAATGTCCGAGAACGCATTCGCCACCTTCAAGCCGTCTAAGCGGAAACGACTGTTCTTGTATTCAAACGCAATCTCGTGGGCCTCTCCTCCAAGGCCCAGAAAGTCTGCTGGAACCTCGATGGTTCCATGGAATCGTGTTGGCTCCGTCTTGTATTCAAGACTCGCGCTGAGCGGAGCACATCCAAACAGGCTCACACCCGCTTTAACTTCAAAGGAAACCCCCCTACTATCAGACTTTGTCCGCACCACAATAGCGGGCCCATCATACTGCTCAGGGGTTTTCGTTGACTTGTAGCCGCTCAGTTCGACGATGTCCAGATCAATGACTCCCTTATACACTGCCGAGAAGGATATTCCTGCCGTCTTGGCATCACCGATGTTCACACCCAGTTCGAACGGTTTGTCAAAGAGATACACAGTGGCACTCAGATGATAGCCAGGCCATAGATGCGTTTGCTTGTACGGGATAGTGTCGTGTGTCGGCATAGCACTTGATGTCGTTGAGGAAACATAGTAAATCATCGCCGACTCGAATCTAAAATCCGGATACTCCTCCGGCCACCCGACAGACGAAGATTCCAGATCCTCAGGACCCGTCACCAGAAGTTTCTTGTGGAAATCTCTTACACTGAGCCCGCCAGTGGCTCCCGTGTCGTATTGCAGCAAAACGCCTCTCGGTATCATGTCGTGAAAGAGGATCATTCCAGTCAAATGGGGCTCTCGCTCGCTGGAACCTGCTGGTGAGAAGATATCCCTTCCCAATTGCACCTTTCCTGTTACGGTCAGATAGTTTCCTGCTGCTTTATCCTTGCGGAACGCTCCCGCCACCTCCAAATCAACAAGCTTTACGTTGAACATCTCCTCAAACGGCTTCTCCAGTACTGGTCCCCCGGCTCTCGCCTTGAACCACGTCTCCGAGTGGTTCACATGCAAGTCAATCTCAAAGTCGAGTGTGTCCCTCTGCAGACCCCCAAACTTGAGCAATGCTGCGACTTCCAATCTTCGGGTATTGTTCGATATTGCTTCGTCGCCTGGATAGTAGGTTCCAGTGCCATTCACTACCGTCATGAACCCACCCAGAAGCTTGAGATTCTCGATCCGGACGCTGTAACGGGACTCGCTCTGAGCAGACATATTCGACACACAGGCAAACAGAAGCATCTTTGTTTCGGTCGGCGAGGGCAAATCTGACAGCGTATTCATGTCTGACACTGCACAGGCCAGACTCGATTCCAGGATGCTCTCGCTCGAGGTTGCATCCCCCGGACTGGGAACGGTGATTTCGGCGAAAAACCACGCCCCTGGAACGATCTTTTCCTCGGGTTTGAGCTTCGACAAGATTGTCACGTCTTGGTGGTCCTGTGGTGTTTCTTTGGGTTCTGCTGGCGCTTCCGGTCCATCGGGTGTCCCCATATCGAGCATCTTCTGCTGTTTGCCGTTGTCCTTGCTCGTTTTGAGATTATCAATGAGTCCCTGGACGGAGGTCTCGTAGGTCACCACTTGCATCGCAACACGTCTTATCTTCCACACGTTGGACACGGTGGTCTTCTGCGAGGTCCACAGATTGTGCACGTTCTCGGCATTTAGCGAAAAGTACACTCCATACTTGTCTGGTGTCTCGACCAGCTTGCGGCTTGAGAGGACAGCATATCCAATATCCTTGATCTTTCCGAGAAGAACAAAGCGTGGGGCCTTGAAATCGATGAAGAGGACCGCCGACCCCTCCACAGCGAAAGGGTTTGGACTTGTACTCTTCACCAAAGTAGACCAATTGGAAGTCTGGTTCGTCTTCGATAGTGGATCAGCAAAGCTTCCAATTTCCCCTCCCTCGGCGCTGCTTCCGCTGATGTCCCGCATAATACTTGCTCTGAGAGTTGCTCCGCGTCCTGGAGATATACCCAATGTTGCTCGAGCGCTAGTAAAGTCGTTGATCGTCATTTCCCCATGCAAATAAATCTCATACTCAAATTTTCGCTTGGTGTCGTCTGGCAACAGTGCAGACTTGGTGATTCGAATGTATGCCCCTAGTTTCTTCACATCGAATTTCAAATCACCGCCAAAATCGCCGCTCCACACGTTTTCGCCGAATGCAACTGCCTCGAGAAATTCCCCAGGCTTGAAGACAAAATACACCGATCCTACCAGCTTGTCTTTTGGTAGCTTGATATCCGATGGAAACTCGAACTTGCTCTTTCTGTTTGTCGGTGCGGGCGCCAGGAACTTGTCCGCAATGTGTGCAATGTCCAGCTTGTTCTGGTCCGCAGGAAGCTCTTCGCCCTTGGACAGCTTCCCCGCAAATGCAGTGCCGTATTTTTTGGTGTGGCGGAAAGCAACTGTTAACCGATAATCGGATATGGTCATTGTGCCATACACTGCTGCTTCGATGCTGTATGTTCTACTGCTAGCATCTGACTTGTCACCAGCAGGCACATGTGTGTTTTCACCAGTATCGGGGTCTGGCTTTCCACGCGGAGAGGCTTCTGTTGAGACCGAGTACATGATTTTCAACCACAGCCGCTCTAGCTCAAGCGGCGGCGACGTCTCGAAGATTGTAAACTTCTTGTGGTTCTGGACCACCACCTCGAGTTGCTCAAGCTTGAAGCCTCGGCTAGAGGAGCCTGCCTCACCTCCTGACGGTGCAAAACTCACAATTCCCACTGCATAATCGAGCCCGAATGTAAGGAATCCCGGACAATCCTCGGGTTTTTCGTACTTGACGTCTTGCATTTCGAATAAATCCATGAGATTCTGCAAGGTGAGAGCGCTCGTATCCACGGCTGAGACTCTGATAGCGATCTGGCCCTTCGTGATTTTGGGTGTTTTAGCCAACTTGGTCGTGTTGGACGGCTTCTCTGACGGACCCTGTTCTAGCTTGCTCTCAGCTACGGCCGAAGCATACATGAATTCTATCTTGGCTCTCAGATCATTCAGCTTGACCTCGCCGATAATCACCAATGTATCGCGAGATGTGTCCTTGAACATGTTACCGACCAAATCTGAACCGCTCGGATCATCCTTATCCGGCTGGTCGAGCAATTGTCCGTTTTTGCCACTTTCGGCAAGCCTATTTTCAACAATCTCAGTCGGCTTGGCCCTTCGGTAATGAACATGGATTCCAGAAATAACGAGCGGAGCGTGGGCGCCATCAATGGTCTGGAAAGACATCGACTCGGACTCTAGCAGACACAAGTTGAGCTCAGTGATGACATCCTCCTCGAAGCTAAAGATGACATTTGCCTCGTGGAGGCGCAAGTCTCCCACAATGGGAAGAATCCCTGATATCAAGTCGGAAGGCAAGACGGTTGTTAGAAGTTCACCGACCAGAGCGGGGCGAAGTGGAATTAGCTCAGCAGTGAGTGATTTGGTTTCCGAGCGATACGTCAATTTCGCGTTCAGAGTCCTTGATGGGAGCGACGCCTGAGCTACCCAGTGCAAGGACGATTTCTGTGTTGATGGCGTAGTTGGGTCTGGCTTTTCAGTCACTGCGCTCACGCCATGCCTTTCCCAAGCAAAGGAGAACAACACGTTGCTAAACTCGAGCTTGCCGAGAGTAAAGCCTTCATGACGGAATGCCGCCATAGCCCCCAGAATGCACATATTCTGCTCAGTTGGCTCGACAGGGTTCTCCTCGTCTTGTTCCATCTTGTAGCCCACATCCAAATGGAAGGACATCAACTCGACATCTACCATTGTTTCCACGAACGGCACGCCAGTGAGGGGGACAGGCACATCAATCAAGCTTAGGACATCGGCCAGGTTTAGCCCCTCAGGGGCTTCACAATGGAGATATCCAGGGGAAATCCTCTGTGGAAGTCCAAATCCAACTTGCAACTCCTTCTCGCGGGCCGGAAGGCTGAAATAGCCGCATCCCTCCGCGTACACGCCTGGACCGGTCCCACCAGAGAGCTCCAGATCCAGCTTCTCGAGCACGAATTTTTCGGTGATGAGGGTGATCCTATCCACCCGAAGAGCGAGGCTCCAGTCAGTGACACTGACCTTGATTCCCGATGGCGTCTCTCCGCTTCTGCTTTCATTTGCAAAGGCCACTCCCAAAGCCACATTTGTCACTTTCAGTTTGGCTAAGTCGCTCAAAACGGGCACATCCGGTCCGAAGGAGTCATTAGCACCCCAGTTCATCACCCTTGCCAGATCCTCAATGCCGAAGCCCTGAGGACAAGTAAGTCCGACATTGAAGTAGTAATTGCTTGTAGGAGTCAGAGAAATAGAACTGAAGCGAGCCTGTATAAATTGATCTTGGAGCTGCAGCTTGTCAGGAGGCAAATCGACTTTGAACGTGATATCCGTCTCGACACGATGCGTCTCTTTGGTGGGATCCCTGACTATGACTCTGGCTTGGATGTCCCGAATTGCGTTTGATTTGAGGGTCCCCGGCAGATAATCAAGCCAGTCGTTACAGTCGACCTGCACGAAGATGCGCGACAGATCGAATTTGTTGGTGCCCCAGTTCACTTCTTTCAAAGTGAAACCGAATTTGGTGTGCTTAAGGTCGGCCAAGCAGGCTCCTGCGACTGCCCCTGCGTTTACATTCGGTTGTGGGTTTTGCGAGGTGGATTTGGTCAATGGAACCGGCAGCTTCTCAAATTCTGGAAGCGCCGATTGTGTGCTAGAATCGAAATTCGCGACCAGATCGGCTAGCGAGCTGATGTACGCAGCCTCGAACTCGAGCTCAGTCCAGATAGGCTTGATATTGTAACGCAGCGTGAGCTGAACGGCCTTGGAAGTTTCAAAGCCGATGCTTGCATGGGCCACGAGGGTGATATCTCGATCAGGTTGTGCCTGCACAAAAAGGTCTGATGTGGTGGTTTCGCCGTTTCTGCTTGAGATATGATCGATTGTGGTTATCTCCCCGACTTCGACAGAGAGAGAGTCAAGCGCGACTTTGACGCATCCAAAGTCCATTTGGGGTGAGAACTTGTATTTTTCGCCGTCAATTGTCCCGGCATTGAGTTGGCACAGCACTGTTGCTGTTTGGATCTCGTGTTCTCCAAACGGCGTTTCCCGCCATGTAACCGGCGAGTTGTCCAAGTCGGGCAGCAGATATGCAAACCCTGTTTCGAGGATGACTTGCGGGACTGCTTGGGTCAGCCGATCGAGTACCCGCTCAGCGTCTCCGCAAATCAGTACCAAGGAAGCTAACAAGGACGTCTTCAAAATATGCTCTGGCTTCAGTCCCTGGCTGACCAGATAATCTCTTAGGCTGGAGAGTGTGCTAGCGAGGGTGGTTTTCCGTCGCAAGTCCATCGAAACCTCATCCGTGTTCAGCGAGACCTCAACAGTCAAGTCAAGCCCGTTTAAGACCAACTTAATCCCGCAATTGGGCGCCGGTATTTGCAGCTGCTGGTCTCCAAGCTGGAGCTGCAGTGGCGTTGGGATGTCGGCGGAGGTGACCAACTTGCACGTTTCAAAGCCGTAGCCGCGAGCCTGGGAAGACAGCATGCGCTTTTGTGAGGGGGGAGGGACAGTAACGGTAGAGCTGGCCATGTCAATTTTGATCAGTTTGGCAAGTTCCATCAAGCCAGGAGGAAAGTGATTTGCAAGCTTAGTTTTGTATCGGAGAAGCGATGAAAACACCTTCTCCAGGGCCGCGCTCGAGTCTGGCATGTGACCTCCCTGTTGGAGAAAGTCGTTGAGGGAAGTAGAGGTCGTGTTAGCATCATCCGGAACGTCCACTGTTACTGTCATAGTCTCCAATCCCGAGCTTATCGAGTGGATTTGAAGGTCTGAGGCGGCCTCTTGTGGCGGTAGTAGCGTCCCAATCACTGTTGAGGGCGTCTCACTGAAGTCAGGAGTCTCGGGATGAGTATCAGTGGTTGTGACCAAGTCGGAATCTTCCCGAGTCTCTTCTGGCGCAGCTTCCATGACATCGTCGGGGCCCTCTTCCACCGCCGCTCCAGCTGGATATTCCAATGAAATCCCCGCTAGGTCTTCTGCGAGGTCTTCTGTGGCTTCTTCTGTGGCTTCCTCCTCCTCGTTGTCGACCCGATAGATTACCGCAGCACGGCTGGGGTCGAGCTGAATGACCGGTGCCGCGACGATGGCATGCGTCCCATGAAACTGGTGCAGAGCCTCGACCGTTCCTGGCTCGACTATCTTGATCTTTATGATGAGCTCTTCGTTCCCCAAGAACAGAAATGTTACCTGGCCCAAGCCGTTGTAGTACAGCTGACGGCCGTCGGCTCGATTCACGACTTTCCACAGTAACACGCCGTCGATATCCGTGCGGTGGTACAGGAGAGCAAAGGTGAAGGCATTGGTCAAGGCCTCGTTATTGCCAGCATCTACCGGCCGGACTGATACGTTTCCTAGGAGTGTCGGGTTGGAGGGTCTCCCGTAAACTGCCCATTCTCCATTCTCCACAGTGAGGCGGGGGTTCTGTTGGTTGTTGTCCAGTCTCACATGGATGAAATGGCCCGTTGGCTGAGATTGCTGGTTATTATCCTGCACCACTTCCATCATCATTTCTTGCAACTTCACCCCATAACGAGCCGCGTTTTGGTATTGAAGGACATTATTGTTGTCGGAAAGGCTGTTCCTCAATACCAGCTGCTGGGGTGCATTCTGTAGAGCGCCCAGCGCCCCGGTGTGGGCTCCGACCTCATAGTTTGGTTGTCCCGGCTGTGTATTGAGCGAAAAGAACATGCCATTTTCCAAATACCGGATGGTCAAATACTGTCCGGCAAAGAACTCGTTTAGGCCCAGGTTCCATCTCTTCCCGATTTTCACCAACTGGCTGTGGTATAAGTTGCTTGGATCCGTCACATAAAGCGTCGCCGCTCTGCCCGGCGCATTTGGATTCGTCGCATCGGGATACCGACATGCTAAGGCCAGCCCCCAGAGTACTTCATATGTCGGATGCTGGCTGTTTCCGCGAACAGTGCCGCTGACAGTGTATGTGTCGACTCGAAACCGGGCATAATGCTTCCGAATCTGTATGATCGTCCACAACTCACCCATCAGCCACTGTGTATTAAGCCGACAATAATTTCTGAACCACTTGACCTTCCGCCTGCCTGCACCAACCCCTGTGTACGGCAACAGCCCTTTGACCGCTGTATGAACAACATTAGGATTATTCATTAGCCAGGTTTCATAGGGCGTTCGCCCAGTCAATGCGTCGGGATTTTTCAGAGCAGCTCGCAGCCTAGTGTAAAGATCCGACACAGTAATGTTGTTGTAGACTACAAGATCGACACATGCTAAGGCCGGTGGCAGTGTCCCTCCCACCGCCTGTCGGTGGACTTTCCAATCCAAGGCGTTACGAACATGCGTCTCTCGCTGCTCGCGAAGCCTGGAGCGTAGCGTCGTGTAGTTGGTATTATTGTTGACAATCACGGTTTTGAAGTAGTTGGCAACTAGGCGCAAGCGCTCCAGGTCGCTGTCATGGTCTAACACGTGAATTTCCGTCACATCTGGATCCTCAATAATCGCCAGGTTCATCAGCAAGAACTCGTGCAAGAAAGGTTTGGTGAATGCGCAATTTCCATCGCCACCCGGATACCAGTCGTCATGCTGTCCGGTCATTCCACCGTGGTGTTCCAGCTTGTACATATGGGCACCCAGAAGGGTCGCCGGAAATTCCTGCTGAATCCGTTGTGCTCTTGCATCGCCGGTAAGGAATGTCCCTTGGGTCAGGTTGGAAAAGCGGGTCGTCGTCAAAATACTGCTGTCATTCTTGTCATGGGCCGTTGTGGTGGGGATCGGAGTGAGATTGCTGAGGAGAGGAGGAGCGTGGCCTGGCTGGCAATATACAAATTGCACAATCTGGTCATGCCCCGGAAAATGCACCTTGATTGTCCCGTCCGCCATGAGAACCTCCCCGAAGAGATTTCTGGTGAGAGGGAGGTTGTTTCCGTAAAACCTAGCAGCCCCCAGCGCCTTTTCTATATGTGTGAAGGAGCCACTCTTATAATACGGCGAGAGAAACGGCCCTGTAAACTCGAAATTGAATAAGTCATCTTGTCCCGCATGCCTTTTCCTAATCAGCTCGAGCAGGCCACCGTAGTGATCGTTGTCATTGTGGGTGTTGATCATCAGTTTGATTTTCGGTTTGCTCGAGTTGAGCCCCCAGACGTGCTGGGCCACGGCCATGAGGTATCGGTAGTACGGCGCAGTGGGGTCTGCGCCTCGGGTCTTTGGTCCGTTGTGGATCGGACCGCCGTCTACAATCACCAGAAACCGGTCGGTGTTGTCCGGCATGAACACTTCGAGGATGATCGCATCGCCGCGGCTTGCGTACACCATGTGGAAGATGATCCGGGAAGCCATGTTGGCAGAAATGGGCTGCAGCGCAATTGAGCAATCGAAATCGAATGGTCACAACCGGGATAGCTGGAATCGGATATTGAAAAAGCAGCCAGGCAATGCCCATCAAGTCGCAGTCGGTATCTCGAGCACCCTCACCATGAACTTAGCAGACATGCAACTTTTAAATAAAATGGCAAGACTTCAAGCATGGCACAAGCACCCAAACTGGATGGTATCAACCTGAAATCTCGTATCAGCTAGACAGCAATTGGCAGCCGGTCCCGTCCAAATCGCCATTCCGGCTTCTAGACCGGTCCTTGGTCGCCGTCTTCAGCCCCAGCCTGGCGATTCGAGTTTATTTTAGCAATATCCCCCGCGTGGCCCCTGCCAGCACGGGCCTTATTCAGTGTGTGGCGTCCATGTTCACACGTGTCATGGCATCCGAAGGTCGGACCGCGTTACACAGACTGCAAGCCACCACTGATAGAATTGGCCAGCTGATGTATTTACGTCTGATGCCTGTCTCTCCTAGCCAGATTGACGAAACTTGAAGCCCCCACACAGAGTTTTAGTGTGGTAAACTAGGTCTCCACACCGGCATCTAATTTTCTCCATCATCCCCATCAATCATTATCTTGATTAGACCATCTATAGCTTGTTTTGTGGCCTTGTAAAAGCTCTATGACTTGTATGTACAAACCTTTCGTACAACTATAATACTGTGTCATTTTATGTTTTTGCGCAAAGGAGGATGGGTATCACTTCTGATAATACATCGACAAACTGAAGCAGGCTCCTATTACCTACCAGGTACACAGATAGATAGAACAAACTCTAATACTTTGAAAGTGATGAGCTAGCCTACTTCTAAAACACCTAGGTTTCTACATAAAGCTTAGAACTAAGATACTAGCTCTATTGTTATAGCTATGAAGATACTTTTTTCTTCATATTCATTATGGAGCTACAAAACAAGGCCGTTAATTGTCAGATATAGATAAGAATTGACGGAGAAATTAGCGAGAGAAAAAATAACAATCCCAACGTGGAGGCCGAATTAACACTTACATACAACAAAGACGGGGGCCTAATCCCCTGACATATCCCTAATAACCGCACCTGTTGATATATATACTAGTGTCTACCACCTCTAATATCTATCTACTACGCCTAACAGCCTGCACTACTAACAATCACGCCCGACATCCTGCACTACACCTAACAGCCACGCCCGTTAATCTCCACGCCAGAGCGACTAGTAAATCCAGAAAGGCCAATCCAGCCCGAATGACCCAAACATTGCAATAGCATGGCAGCAGAGCAGTTATAACCCCCACCTCCCACTCACACAACCATATTTCAGTTCCTACGTATATCCAGCTTGCCGCGGCAAAAACGACGCAGGCTGTGCCAGACCCGCAGCAGTCGCTCCGGAAAACAAGTTGCCCTGACTCTGGGTATATCCCGCCTGCGGCTGCGGTGGTGGTGGTTGGAACGGGCCTGGAAACTGTGGCGCCGTATACGCAGCAGGAGCCGGATTCATGTGGCCAGCATGAGGATACTGGTTCCCTGGATTCTGCTGTGCGTGCACACCGTTACTGTGAATGTGAGTTTGAGTCTGAGTGTGAGGACCTAATCCATACGAGTGCATAGCCTCGGACTGGACTGGCGCCGCATTCCCATTTCCACTCCCATTTCCATTTACATTCCCACTCCCCCCACCACCACCACCACCACCATTCACAGCAAACCCCCACGTCCCGCCCTTCAACTTATCCCTCACAAACCGTACTTTCGCCTGCACCTCGGCAGGCAACTTCGCCTCCAACGCCCAAGTACACGCGGTGACGACAGCACGCCACATGTTGCTCTCGGGCTCGGCCAGCACGGGATTCCCTTTTTCCTGGCGGACGCGCTCCAGCACCGCCATCATGAGGCCCTGGATGTGGCTTGTGATTTTGTCCGTGTCGACGCCGGGCTGCGGGATGAGCAGGTGCAGGGTCGCGGGGCTTGCAGGGCGGAGCTGCGAGGTGCGGAAAGAGAAGGTGATAGGGGCGGCCGTGTATGTGGTATGTGGGGAGGCGGACGCAGGACCGAGAGCGAGACGGGCAAAGGCCGGGATGGTGTTGTTTGTTTTGCTGGGGCTGGGGCTGGGCTTGTGGGAGAGCAGGGCAAAAGGGTGGTCGGCGAGTTGGACGGCGTGATGGATCGCGTTGTCTTTGGCGGCGGCTCTGCACGCTTGCTTGTCGTACGTCTCGTTGGTGATGCAGAGGCGCGCCCAGGGCTTTGCTATGCGGGCGTCGAGATGGCGCTGCACCATTTTGACGGCCGCGCCGCCGTACTGGTGGTCGCTGGCGGCGCGCAGCCGGAAGGCAAACGCGAGCAGCTCGTCCTGCGCCTTGTGGAGGTGCGGGCGGGACAGCGCGGGCGGTAGCAGCGTGTTGATGTAGTAGGCGTGGTAATACATATAAGTGCCCAAATAGGCAAAGCTGATGAGCTGCGACGCCGAGTCGACAAAGACAACGGGGACGTCGAGTTTCTTCGCATATTGCTCGAGGCGCTCCAGATGCGCCAGCTTGTTTGCGCGGCCTGCCGCAGACGGCGCGATTCCAGCTGTGAAATCCAGAGACCCCGTGACGGTGATTGCAGAGAGTGCGGCTCGCAACGCCGGTGTCGTCGTGTTGATCCAGTGCAGGAGGAATGGTATCACTGCGTTGTGATGCCACACCACTTTCTTGCTGTCGCCGTGGAACCCGCCCATCTTGAGCACGCGCTCGAGAGCTGTATTGATCCTTTTCGCAGTCTTGTCAAGCGCCTCTTTCTGCCCACTCAGTACACTGTTGTCCCAGCCCCTGACCACCACAATCTTGCTGTACACCGCAACCGTGCCATCGAGATGTCTTTTCGCCTCCGCGCCAGTCAGATACTCGACCAGCATGCAAATCCGACTGAAATTATTCCTGCTGCCACTTTCCTCGGCAATAATCAGCATGCTGCCGTCGCTCGCGTTCGCGCCTTTGTTCTGCCGCACGCCCAGATCGCACAGCTTCGCAATGACTGACGTGAGTTGCAGCAGGCTGTCTATATCCGAATCAGACTCCCATACGTGAAGTACCTCTGGGTTGCAGATCTTGTCCAGCGTGGCTTTGGAAGCGGAATCAAAGGCGGGTTTGTATTGCGATGGCATGGATTCCACGGACTTTTTGAATGCGGAGAGCGACTTGGACCAAGGGCCGTGGAATGTCATTTTTCTTGCAGTACCGGCGATTATGCTTGCAAGAGTTTGCACGTCACTGGTGAAGGTCGGAGAGCTCGCAGGTCGTTCGGGGGTTGGGAGGGTGCAGGTTGTGTCTGGTACAAGTGGCGATCGATGCAGCGGTTGATACAGTCTAATAAAGACACCCTGCGGCTTTTCCCATGACGAAAGGAGTAAGATACCGAGTGTGGTTTGCTGGATCAAATCACTGTTGCGGCCGGTTGTTAGCCTGTGATGCGGTAGACTTCTGTTTGAAGTGAGTGCACGTGAATCAGAGGCGAGCCAGGCGATTCTCATTGCAGGAGCACCTAATAGTCGTTATTGAATACAGCATGTGAATGGAACCAGTAAGTCAATCAAGAAGATGTAATAACCAAAAAATGAATGTAGAGCATACTGCCGTCAACGGCCCTCTATCAAACAACCCAACCGCAGTGAATGCCTTCATGTGCCCTACTCTCCCAAACGCCCTATGTGAATGAAAATCCCGCTCTACCAAACCTACTTGCCAGTCCCACCGCTATTCCCCTGGATTGCATCTTTTTCAAGCTTTATTTTTCGGCTGAGTAATACCCGAAGCTCTGGACTGATGACCCTCGTATCTTGTTCATCTTCGCCAACCCGCTTGCCCTTATCGGTACCCGAGCTAGTCGCTTGATCTTGCGGCGCACGGCCCGGGCCAGCAACCACTGCCGCAGCTAGCTTCCGTTGCCTAGCTTGCGGCGCCGAGGGAAAGTTGCCCTTCTTATCGATTGTCTCTACCGTGCGCTGGAACCTCTTGAAGAGGGACTCGGCGCGGACGAGTGTCGACTCCAGGTCCATGGTACCGGAAAGCTCATTGACTGCAACCGAGTTACTATCTGCTTGATGCAAGACGGGCCCTTGCTAATAATGACGTACCATATTTAAGCACCTCGTCAAAGTGCTGGAGATGCGCCATGATAATCTCCCGATGCTTCTCCAGTATGGCTAGCGCAATGAAGATGTGAAAGTTGCTGCTCAGGTAGTCTGTCCACAGAGACTCCCATAGCCGCAGTACATCAGGCCAGTCAAACTCGCGTTTATACCAAACAAGCAGCATGCGGAAGAAGAAGAAGAAGTTTGTCGAGTCGGCAGACTGGAGATGTAGGTAGAGCTTGGGGTCCATGAGCTGTACCAGGTGGTCAAGCGTCATAAGTTGCTTGCGCATGCCAGACTGGTCGCGCAGAAAGTTTCGCTCCTACCAACATCAGCTACTACATTGCAATGTTCATGTGCAGACTTACCATGCGAGCCATGAACCCGACGAAGCCCCAAAAGGCAATTGCATCGTCCTGCATGACTGCGTAGATGGGTGCGAGCAAATCGCTCATACCCTGCACATAACCAAGATCCTTGTTGTACTCGTTGTACGTAAGCAGCATGTCCTTCATCTGCTCCAAGTGGACATTGGTGCCAACGTCGGCGAAGGGCGAGTCAGGATCAGGATGGGGGATATCCTCGCCGCTGAAGATGGGAATATTACGATCTGTGCGATGTACATCTTTTTCTACACATGGAATGGGACAAGTCAGTTGATGTTCAAGTAAGCGCGGGCGAGCAGGAGACCAACCTATCCTGTTCTTTTGCTCCCTCCACCATTCTTCTTGCTCTTGCGTGTGCTGGCCTTCAACCATGCGCTCCCACCATGCGCCCTTGAGCCGAATGTACTCGTCGCGAAGGCTGTTGACGTGGGCGCGCCGCTCCTCCTCGGAACTCTCCCATTCATATACGCCCAGAAGGAATAGCCACGCTTCTTTGCGCACGCCGTCGTCAGGATCCAGACCGCCGTGAAAGATGCGTTCCTTGACTTCATCCGGTGTCAACTGCAGTCGTCCCTTGGGGTCGAAGAAGCCCTTCCATTCGGTCAGGGTGACTGGTTTTCTCCGATCAGCCATAGTCATCTTGTCCATGTCCAGAATCTCAAAGTCGCCGACATCGCTTTCCTCCATGGCCAAGACATCCTTTGCCGTCCATATGCGCTGGTTCCGCTCTCTTTCGCTCTGCTCCGCGATGCCCATGGCCCATCTTGCCAGATACAGCCGCGCGCTATCAAACTCCTCTTGCAGCGTTTGCACCTCCGGGTTCTGGATCAAGCGCCTAACTTGAGGCGGAATCTTGGGGTTGTCTGCAACAGCCTGCGCGGTTCTCCGGGTAAACGTGGTGACTTGGCTGAGTTTCTCGAGGAAATTCCATCTCGCCTCCTTGAGCGCCTTGGTGACTGGATCCATGCCCCCGTCTCTCTTGCCACTCTGCGAAGAAGAAGCCTCTGCCTGTCCCTCGGTGCTCTTTGCCGGCGCCACGCCCTTGCCAAACGACTTTTTGTCTTCCTCGGTAGGGTCGATGAGATATATGCTCGGGTCGGCGCCGGATCGCTCGACTGTGACGTATCGCTTCAGCCACCGGAGCACCTCGTCGCCGCCCCAGAACATGCCGCCTCCGTCGCCAAACGGATCGAAGCTCTCCTTTGCAAGCTTCTTCCTCTGCATAATGGTCGACTGGCACTCGCTGTCATGGAAGAAGAGCGCGGGAAAGCTGTCGCCAGCCCGCGTGTTGACGACGATGCTTCCAAACCACCATCCGATGCTCGGTGGCCGTATGAGGATGGAATATATCTCGCTGACGGGCAGCGCAAACGCATATCCGGGGGCTACCGAGTGTGTGGACGGTGTGGGAGGCGGCGGAACAAGGTACGACTGTTTGGGCGGCGACGACGAGTCGGAGAGATCGACCTTGACGTATGTATCGTATGCATCGCCGAGGCTCGACTCTGGAATCCAGCAAAGGAGCAGCGACGAGGCGCTGATGCTTCGGGCGGACGACGACGAAGCAGGACGCGCATCGGCGGCAGCCCGGTTGGAGCGTTGCTGTATGAGGGCTATGAATCCGGGGATGTTGTCTTTGGACGAGGGCGTGGGATGGACGTAGACCTGCGCCGGTTAGATGGTGTGTACAGTGTCTGTGCATGGGGCAACCCACTTTGCTCTTTGTATACAGCAGCTTGACTCCCTTGCCAGTGCTGGTATGACGTATGGTGTTGTACTCGCCCTCCTCGTCATCGCTCAAGTCGTAGAAGCTCGCCGACGGAGAGGGTGGCGCCAGTGTCGGGGAAGCCATGCGGGGCTAGGCAGCCGTTGGGGTCAGCTGTGCAAGGCTGCGGAGTAGATGATATGGGTGTGTAGGTCGAGTGTTTGCGGATATGTGCAGGATAGCATAGGTATAAGGTAGCACAGGTGCGCGTCCTTGGACGGCGCTGGTTAGGCGCAGCTGGTGGTCGCGGGCTGGGACCGACGACTACTAGAGCCCGCCGCATGACGAGTGTGGCTGTGCGCGGGGGAACGCGTCGCCCCTCCACCCGAGCCAAGCAAGTACATACTATATGCTTGGGCATGCGACGACGTGTGCGCGAGAGACAGTGTTCCACAAACGACTCAATTGCGAATTCTTCGGCACGGCTCTGGGCTAAATGTATCGATATTAAGGACCGGCCTATGCTGTAAACCCGCACTATGCTGCCAAACGTCTACCCGACGCCATGCTTTGCCCACGCAGCGAATACACACGCCCCGACTCCGATGCGCCATGCTCAATCCATCTACCGTACGAACGCGGACACGAAGACGAAGAATCCGCCTCAGCGCATGCGCGGCCCGCTCGGCAGCCCCATTCGTCCGCCCTGCTGACCGCGTGGCGGTGCGCCCCCGCCATATCCTCCGCCCTGTGGCGCATACGGGTCACCACCGCCACCACCACCACCACCACCACCACCGCTGCTGCCATAGCTGTTGCTGCGCTCGTCGGCATAGGGCGGGCGGTCGTGCGGGCTGCGTGGTGTTGTGGGCGAGCCCGTGTCGCGCTGGGCTGGGCTCTGCGACCTCCCCCACAGCCTGGCCTTGAGGCGCTCCTGGGCCGATGTGCCTCCTCCTGCGCTGGGCGGCGGTGAGGCGTCGGCCTGCTGCCGCCCTCCCAGCGAGCTCTGGTAGCTGCCCGCCCGTTGGCTGGGCAGTGGCCGTCCTTGTATTTGCGGCTCTGGTGTAAGCGAGTTGCCCATCGGCCGCCCTTGGACGGCGCGCGCGCCTCCGCCCCGTCCGCCTGCTCCTCTGCGCAGCGACAGCGGCTCCTGTGCCTGCTGCTGTGGCGCCGGCGTATCCCACAGGTCGCTCAGCCCGCCGCCGCCGCCTCTGCCCATGGGCGCCGCCTGTCCCTGCTGGCGGAGCGACGACGACGATGCAAACTGCGTGGGCGTGGGCGGCGGCGGGCCCTTGGGGTCGGGCGGGAGCCATTGTGGAAAAAGTCGGCCTTTTTCCGTGTAGTAAGCGCGAAGCACTCGGGATAGGTGCGAGTCGTCGTCGGTGTCGCCGTCTGCCTCGTCGGAGAGAATCTGCCGCCGCAGATTGTTGTAGCGCGACGTCGTGTTGGTGAGCAGGTTGTTGAGGTACGACGACATGGTGGCGGGTGTGCGAGAGTGGTGGTCGGTCGGGGGGGGGGGGGGTTGCGCGCTCAAGACGGCCCTGGGACGCCTTTATGCAGACCAGATGGTGTGGGTGATTAAGTGGTCGAGGGCCGCGGTTGGGTCCCTGTTGCCAGCCTGACTCGGCGTTTGGGTCGCAGAAGCGAGCACGCCCAGGGCAACGGGCAACACCCCCAGCACATTGCATCACGCTGCGTCAAACACCGGCTGACGGCCTTTGGCCTGTTGCTGCTCCCAAGACAGAGCATCACGACATTTCGTTGTACCCGCAGTGTCGGCCGTTGTGCTGCCGCCTACCCTGCACGCCGCCTTGGTGCCTTATGCCTGGCTGCTTCACACCACCCAACAATTCGACCATGTCCCCAAATGTTGAAACAATGTGAAACGATGCACTGGGCGAATGCGATGCCGTCAACAGCTAACGCACTGCAGGTAATCGTCCAACTGTTTGCAACGCCGTGCATGAGCTTCCAAGACACCTGTCTCTGCATCACCACATGTAAGTGAGACTGCTGTTTTACGGACAATCCATGCATTCCTTCGTCCAAGTGCAAGACAAGACTTGCTGGTTTACTGCTCGCATTCAGCCCTGCGAGAAGACTGGTATTCTGCAAACTGCACTGCTCAAGATAAGCATCCCATGGTCAGCAACTTGGCAGGGAAGCTATATTAAGAGAAGCGAGCACTTGCGTCCGACATAGAGCCGATATCTGGGGAATAGAAATGGGCTTGATTCGACTTTGAGATGGTATCCAATCCGGATATGTGGTATCGTCAGTCTTTGAAGAACCAACATCGCCTTAAACCCCATGCCCAATCCAATGGCCCTGCTTTCGCAACGAATCCTGGTCACTCTCCCCCCGCTGTCTTATTCTCCTCGACCTTCGTCTCACTTCGATACACAACCTTGACTCCCGCAATCTCATTGAACGCCTCGTCAACCGTGCGTAAGTCGCCATCTCGCAGATCCATGGCTAGCTCACGACCCCCACACACCAATGCTTGCATCTTCGGCTCAAACTCTTCACTATCCCGCTCCTCGTCTTCACTGTCACTGTCCTCAGCCCATTCTTGTCCAGCACGGAAGCTGTAGAACTCGAGACGCGGTCCATACAGTAAGATGCCGTAGCCTTCTTGAACATTGCCCGCTTGACATAGCGCATGCACAAGAATGTCGCTGCGGTGCACCACGTTCTCAGACGAGAACTGTGGTAGTTGGTCGTAGTTTTCGATAATAATGCCAAGGTACGTGTACGGGACCCATTCGTAATTGGCTACTCCAGTCGTCTCATGCGTCACCTCCCTCTTTCGCTCAACCACAAAAGCGGCAATGTCGTGCGGTTCAATGCGATCCCACCGCAACCTCATGGTCCAAGCCATGCCATGGTTGTACTGGTTGGCTTGGGCGATCATGGCTGCTTTCCTCAGCTCATACTTGCTTGGACGTCTCTTCTTCTTCCTTTTTGCTTCGGCTTTGGGATTCGTCACAGGAAGATCTTTCCACACATCTGACTGGTCTTCGGCGGCCAAGATGAAGTTGACGCCGCTCTTCGCAACAGGTCCCAGAGACGCAGGTTCGATCTTGTAGCCTTGGGAGGCGGGGTAGTAGCGTTTGAGCGAGGCAAAGGCAATAGCCTTCCCATACTGCATACGTGTAGCATTTGTTGCAGTTGACTGGGGTCCGTAGTGGCTGAGATATGTCTTATACAGCGTGTCGAGTTGTGTAGAGTCGGAGGCGTCAAAGTCGACTAGGCTTCTCCAGTGTTCCTGTGGTTCCTGTGTGTCCACCCCATCCCCTTTGTACTCCTGAGGGTGTGTCAAGGCCTTGTCTGGTTCGTTCAAGTTTTGAAATGAATCACTGCCAGGTATATTAGATGGATGGCTACTGATATCTGGTGTCATTGGCGCATTGTGGTGTTGCGGAGTGTCGTTCGCAGGCATGTCGTCTGAGGTGGTCGGCCAAGACACGTTAACAGAGTTGGCCTCTATCGGAGCGCCATCATGGCCAGAGTCGAGCGGCATGTCTTGATTGGAGAGCGGGTCCATGGTGGGGTTGGGGGCAAGGTGTAGCGGGGGTTGAGTGAGCGCCAATGGGAGAGAAAGGGTCAGGGTTGAAGAGAAGTGCATCTAATATGACCGAGGTAGGTGGAAGGCGTCTCAGTGAAGTGATTGGCCTATATCACGTGAAGCGCTCACACGGCGCTCGATGCCGCCGCACGTGATGTACAGCAGGTAAAGGCAATCGCGTTGCTGCATCATCAAATAGGGCCGTCAGCTGGATTGGCCTCTGCACCTCCAGCAACCGTCTCGCTGCCCCCATCCGCCGCCTTCTTGGCCTGCTCCTTTGCCTTCTTCTTCAGCTTCTTCTCCCGGTTCCTGCGTGTCTTTTTCTCGCGCTCAGCCTCTTCCTTCTCTTGCGCAAGCCGCGCCTGTTCGCTCTCCTTCTCCTTGGCCGCCTGCAGCTTCTGCCTCACGGCGATACGCGACTTTTTGCTCCTTCTCGTCCGCTTGTGTGCCTTTTCCTCGACCGTTGCCAGCATAGGAGGGTGGCCGACCAGGACTTCCCTTTTCATGCCAGCCGGTGAGATGGTGCGCACCTTCCACGGCAGCGCACAACCCGGCCAGGGCAGCTTGGCCAGCTCCAGGACGCCTTTCCCGTCAATGGCAGCCGCCTGGAATGCAGCCTCCTCTTCGCTCGTCGGCTCGTCGGCAAAATAGTAACTTTGGGGCTTCTTCACGAGAATGGCGGGCTCTCCGCCGTCGGCAGCGGGCGATGAAAGGCGAATCTTGTGCGTCTGCGAGGGCGCATTCGAGGGCGCAGCAAAGAGCCGCAGCTCCGTCTCCTCCTCGTCGCTATGGGCGGCAGCATCTCCAGCAGCAACATCGTCGGCGGCGGTGGTGGTGTAGGCAAACTCGGTCAGTGCCTTGGACCGCAGAAGCTCTTCGAGGTCGGGATCTGGAGACGAGCGTGGGGACGACGTGGGCGAGTGCAGCTCGTCGCGGCGCACCCTTGGCGAGGTCAGTATGCAGCATGCATCGGTCGCGCGCACTGGGAACAGGAATTACCGCTTTGCACCCGGCAACTGGAACATGGCGCCTTCAGCTTGTCCAGACTGTCGCGCAGTCGCAAGTTTGCTGCAAGTTTTGTTCGCTGCGCATCGGCTGCATGGCGGGAGATCGGCGTCTGCTCGGCTTTGCGGTCCTCAGGTCGCCTAGCGCACCCCCCGATGCAGCGTCATGGTTCGATAATACCCGCAGGCGTCGCATCTCTGATCGGAATTCCTGTCCCCCATGGCGAAAAACAACAGTGGAATCTTGGAACGCCCACTGGCCAGGGGCTGGCCCCATCTAATACGCATCGAGTTAATCACGCACTCGTTACGGTCTGCCGCGGCCGCAGCCTCTAGGAGTTTGGTTAGAGTGGCTGCCCACTGGCAATGCTGTCGGTCGCATGCCCCCGCCACTGTGCCCTCACCCTGGAATACGTGAATTATCGCGTCTGTGGAATGCCATGTTGAGACACCCCGCCAGCACACAACAGTACCATGGGCTATTCATATGAGGCAGTTCGTGAGCGTGACCTCCACAGGTGGGTGCCTTTGGCATGCGCACCGTAGTCAGCCTGCAGCTAAAACCGCCCCCCTCAGATATTACCGTCCATGGCTCGACGGCCAGAGCCTAGTCGACGCCGATGGCTCTGGTAAGCCTTTGACCTACTCGGGCTACCAACCACAGTCGTCGCGCGACCGTTCGTTGACTGCCTTTGCCCAGCTGGCCACCCTCCGTCTCGACACGCGCCGGGCTATGGTTTCTCTGATTGACTCAACTCGCCAATACATTCTCGCCGAAGCCACTCGCACACTCTCGCTGTTCAAGCCCGTTGCAGAAGAGCCCGAGGACGAGGTGTGGCTGGGCAACGCCATACTGAACAAGACGGACGCCGTCTGCTACCACACCTTTACCTCGACGTACACGGCAAAGGAAGAGAATGGCGACACGTACGAGGCTGAATGCATGGTCATTCCCGACTGCCGCTTGGATCCCCGTTTTGCTGAGAGGGACTATGTCAAAGATGAGCCTGGTGTAAGGTTCTACGCAGGCGTTCCCATTGTGACGAAAGCAGGGAATCGCATTGGCGTGTATGCTGTTTCTGACGAGAGGCCTCGCGAGGGTATCACTGCTGCCGAGCTGCGCTTTATGCAGGATGTCGCTGCAGCCGTCATGGAGCACCTCGAGCTGGCCAAAGACAGTATGGACCGGAACAAGGGAGAGCGTATGGTGCGAGGCTTGACCCAGTTCATTGAGCGCTCGTCGGCTCAAGACATGCGCGACGACGGCAACCGGCCCACTACCATGGAGAAGCAGACGGAAAATGCGCGTTTGGTCACACTCGATGAAGAGGGAGAAAACTCCTCTGCGTCGGCGCCCATGTCAACCAGCAGGCAGGCGCAACGCAAGCGTGACGCCGAGTCCGACGCTGCCCGCATCTTCCACCGCGCTGCCCGCATCATACGCCAGAGCACCGATGCTGACGGCGTCGTCTTCTTTGATACGTCTGCAGCTGGGATACGGACTCATCTCTACGACTACAGCCGCAACGCTGGTAGCAGCGACGAGAGTGCCACGCACAACACCGATACCGGCGACTCCACCACATCGCGGAGACTGAAAAAGCAGAGCTTGGTCAATCCTGACGGCTCCGCGGATCCAGGCATCGTCGATAGCAAACCCTGCCCTGTAGCTGGACTTTCGTTGCGGGAAGGTAACGCGGGCTTGGTACATTCTGAGTTTAGCTTCACCGAGGCTGCCATGGAGCGCTACATACACCGTTATCCATATGGCAAGTTCTTTAATTACAACGAAGACGGTATTGGCGTTAATTCATCCGACGAGAAATCCGAGCGCTCCGAGACCGAGCAATCGGACCGCACTGCAAATGCACCCACGGTGGGCACCAAGAAGCCGCGCAAGAAGCGAGAGCGATTTGTGCCCACAGAGTTTTTGAAGGTGCTGCCCAGAGTTCGCAGCTTGATTTTCTTGCCTCTCTGGGATCCAAGCTCGGAAAGATGGATTGCGGGAGGCTTCATCTGGACCGCTCAAGCTGGAAGACTGATGAGCCCCGACAACGAACTGCCGTATCTGCAGGCCTTTGGAAATTCGGTCACGAGTGAGGTAGCGCGCCTCAATGCGCAAAAGGCAGACCGCGCCAAGACGACCTTCATTGCATCCATCTCGCACGAGCTGCGATCGCCGCTGCATGGTATCCTTGGCTCGGTCGAGTTTCTTCGTGAGACCGTGGCGTCAGCATACCAGGAATCTCTCGTCTCTTCTATTGAAACTTGTGGAAAGACGCTGCTTGACACTATTGACCATGTGCTTGATTACGCAAAAATCAACAAACTACAAAAAGGCAACGTTGTCCAAAGACATCGCAGTCAAGGTCGAGCAAGAAGGCTTCCAGCAGACAATTCCATTCTTGGTGTTACAGCTGATGTCGATCTGGCGCAGCTGGTCGAGGAGGTTTGCGACACCGTCTGCGCCGGCCATACATTTAGGAAAACGCATCACATCCGCGGATCTGCCATTTACGACCAGGCTGAGAATGCTGTTGCGCACCGCTCCCCACAAGATCCAGTCGGCAATACCGATATAGAGGGCAGAGACACACATGGCTCCGTCGCTGTATCGCTCATCGTGGCTCCCTATGTCAGCTGGGTCGTCCGCTCTCAACCCGGTGCTCTGCGGCGGATTGTCATGAACCTAGTGGGAAATGCTTTAAAGTATACTGACTCTGGCTACATTGCCATCAAGATGTTACAGACCAACTCGACTTCCCATTTCATAAACTTGACACTGAGCGTCGAAGACACGGGTAGGGGAATATCGCAAGAGTATCAACGAACCAAGCTGTTTTCGCCATTCAGCCAAGAGGATCCTTTCAGTTCTGGCACTGGTTTAGGGCTTTCAATCGTCAAGCAAATTGTCGAATCTCTCAAGGGTGAAATTGAAGTCAAGAGCACTCAGAATTCCGGTACTATCATCAAAATCAACATGCGCCTGCCCATCGGTTCGAGAGAGAATGCAAACCAGGATCAAGCGCTTATGCGCGCTCCACGGGAGTTGAAGGGTACTACGGCCAGCATCGTTTGCGACATGACCGACACACACGGTATTTCACGTGGCCTGAAGACAAAACAGTCAATGGAAAACGCATGTAAAAACTTCGACATGAAGATCATTGATTCGAAGCATTCCGACAGCAATACTTCCTTGGACGACATTGACTTCTTGCTTACTGACTCTCCGTCTCTCTTTCAGTTGATCCACAAGACCAAGGTCGGCCGATCCAATAAATCTCCACTCGGCGTAATCTGTATCTGTACAGATACTTCTGAGAAGACGGCAGTGGAGACTCAGCTTGCAAGACAAATCGATACGCTAGGCTGGATAGCTGAGATTGTCACCCAACCGTAAGTCATCTGATGCGATACATATCATCATGTACTAATTTCTTAAAGCTGCGGTCCTCGGAAACTTGCTCGAACGCTCTTGTCTTGTCAAAATCGCGCCACCCATCACGGAATCGAACGGCCTATCAGTCGGTCGATGAGCTCCTCGGTCGTGCAGTCAGAGTCGCAGTCTCTCCTATCACAGCGCAACTTGCCTCAACGTAGCCATAGTGAAATGCTTTCCCAAGCTGCACCACAGCAGGCTACAACTGCCATCACATCTCCCTCTCAGCACTCGATGCGGTCCTTCACTTCGACCACAACGCCTTTGAGTCCCAGCAACAGTGAAAATGGCGAGTACTTCAACCCGCGGGTCCTTCTTGTGGACGACAACGCTATCAACCTCAAACTCCTTGTCGTCTTCGCCAAGCGTCAGAATTTGCGCTACGTCGAAGCCACCAACGGCCTTGAAGCTCTGGAAACATTCAAATCCGAGGCTCAATCCACTTCATCGCCAACTAGGCCTTTTGACTTTGTACTCATGGACCTCAGCATGCCGGTCATGGATGGTCTGACAAGCACAAGGCAGATTCGGCAGTTTGAGGCCAAGATGGGACTGCCCAAGAGTCATATCGTTGCACTTACAGGACTGGCGAGTGCACAGGATCAGAGCGATGCTCACGAGGCAGGCGTAGACATGTATTTAGTCAAACCTGTCAAGTTTGCAGATATCAAGAGAGTTTTTGGTGGCAAGTAGGAGATACAGGCTCCATGATTTCTGGAATTGGCGTTGGGGGATGCTATGAACGGTTTGGGTATCTGACATGATATACAAGCATTGGGCATGGCGACGGCGTTTGAGATTAATTAGCATCTAGTTGGATGGACGACGTATCCTTTCGGCATAGAATGAGTATACGATTTTCCATGTTCTCGCTCAAGCAATAGAGTGCTTTCTATATTTACTCTTGCACATCCCACAGCCTCCTCGCATTGCTACTAAACAGCTCCTCGACACAATCAAATTCTTCAGCCCACTCGAGACACCTTTGCACAAACGGTCCAACGTTGTACTCCTCGAACCTCGTGTGTGGCCAATCCGTCCCAAAAACCATTCTATCACTCCTCAGCCTCAACATCTCGCGCGCCACGCTCTCCAAAGCCACACCCTGGCCATCCACCCGGTACGCCGCCGAAAACTTGACATATGTGCGTCCCTGCTGCAGCAACCGTACTAACGACGCAAACCCGGGTACGCTATAAACATCGAACTGATCCTGCTCTCCCGGTGCCAAAGCAGGCAGCGCTGGACCCGCAAAATGATCAAAACACAGCGTAACATTGAGTCCTAACAACGTGTCCTCGATCTCGCGGAGCCGCTCCATACCCGTGTATATCTGCAGCACCCAGCGCAGCGGGCGCACAATCTCCGCATACGCCTTGACGCGAAGCGCCAGCGCCGCCGCGTCCAGCGTCTCCGTCGTAGACTGCAAGTTGAGTCTTACGCCGCGCACGCCGACACGATGCCAGGCGCGCAGCTCTGCGCGCGAAACATTAACGGGGACCTGGACGACGCCGCGCGCCGAACTGGGGCCCAGCGCCCCGAGCACCTGCAGCAGCAGTGTGTTGTCGGTGCCGTATACCGACGGCTGCACAATAACTAATCCCGTCATGGCGATGCTCGTTTCAAACGCCAGCCCCGACCACAGCGAGTGCACGCCTATGGTGTACGTTGCCGATGCAGACAACGGGAAGCGTATCGCGTCGATGATGTGCATGTGGCTGTCCCACGCGTCTGCTGGGACCCGTGAGAGAAACCATGTCGTTGTGTTGGTCTGGGGTGCCGCACATGTGGCTTGTGGTGCTTGAGACGAAGCTTTGGTTTCTGGGGCATGGTGGGTTGCTTGTGGTGCAGCGTGTTGTGCTAGGAGGAGGAGGAGGAGGAGGAGTGGTAAGACTGTTTTTCGGACTTGCAAGGAGAAGAAGCGTGCCATGTTTACTGGGTGTATAGGACCTTATTTTTTTTCTCCCTGATCTTGGGGTTTTTGAGATGATAGTGGAAGTTGCGTTAAGCTACGTAGTCTTTCTTTTTTTTAAAAAAAAACGCCCATGTCTGTAGCTCAAGCTTGCGACTTGGCTTTCCTTTCAGGCTTGTGGGGTGCAGATGTCTCTTGGCTGAGCGGAGCATTGTGCTGAGCCGGCCTTGTTGTGGGTATTCTACATCTATCTCGTTTGGGTGGATGCTCCCATGCATTATGGCTGTTTTCATGGTGTTTTGCACGGTGTCAGGGGATGCAATGCTGACTATCTCCATCCATTGACGTTGATGTATCCATGCTACCTAATAGTGTTAGATTAGGCTGGAAGTAACGATAGATACTCGGGTACCTTTTCCCTTCAAGCTTTCCAGTACGCGATGATATCCTTGTTCCATAAACGGGGCGCATCATTGGCATGCATAAGTACACATGCACATGCACATGCGCTTCTCGCATGTGCCAAGCGTGCCTTCAGATGCACACAAGCACCTCTGTTTTTTCTTTCGATATCATAGCAAATAAACCGTGAATGAAGCTATTGCAACGCATGTGTGTATGTGGCGCTTCTTCTCATCTGGAAAACATCACTGTGAGCTCAAAAACACGCGTGGTGGAGAGTGTGATATCATTGTGCAGCAGCAGCATGTATCTCTGATTCGCACGGCAATTTTATGCGAGGGCCTGGGCCCATGGTGCAGCATCCGAGGCTGGGGTTTGCAATTCCTCCAGGTGTATCTGTGGAGCTCGTTTGCGATAGCAGAGATAAGGACTTGTGGGTCAGGTGATTCACGGACTTGTTCGCAAATTATTGATAACTATGCCAGCAAAGGCTGGGAACAAAATAGAAAGGCCAGATCACACGTATCATCACTTGCTGTTGGTTGTTGGAGCTGGTGCACGTGATATCGCGGACTGATATAGACTGAGTAAGCTTAGAACGTCGAGTCGCTCACGGCGATTCGAAAATGGGTGCAACGAATTCAGACTCGGTAATTGAATTTTTGTACAAAAGTGATTGAGTGAAATGCCCGCTGAAATTGCAAGTATTCCCATATCCTTTAATGCTGTTGGACTTGACGCAGCACGTAGCTAATGTCATTTTACGACGGAAGACTGCAATCTACACAGAGTATTGTTGGACCAGTCTTTGGTAATGACTTTGATGCAGTGGTATTCGGGAACACAAGGGGACTGAATATACGAAATACTTGCAGAGCGGCTTGGGAAAGGATATTTTTTACTGCATGTGCAAGCAGACATCCAAACCGAGAAGCGCAGTTCAACAGTGCAATATTACATCGCCAATCTATCAAATATCAACCATGTGGCTGAACCAAATTCAAAAGATTCTCCAACTTTTGCAGACTGTATCTACTTCCAGATGTGTAGTCTTGAATTGCGTTACATGAGATGCTGTGAAAGCTACAGAGATCAGGTATCGATGGCCTGAGAATGCTCTTTCACACGCATCTCCACAGTACCGTTGACTAACATCATTAGGAAACCAGCCGCGGAATACACATAACCCAACTCCCGAAGAAGAGAGCCTAGTTTCGTGAAGCTGGATCGTTACTGCAATACTTGCTCGATCCTCACACCATCCGCACTGATACAACGATCCCAACCAACAATCCACCCATAATACCTTCAAACTCTATGATATCTACCCATACTATACCGCAGCAGCATACATGGCCAGCATTAATGCTGTCATCGTAACTGTATCATCAATGTTAACACCATCAATATCTACCAGCCTAATACGACTTATTCCCACGGTCACACCACCTAACAAGACAAACATTCGTGCGACGCGATGCATACCCTGAAAACTTTTTGGCCATGCCATGCCGTAAGCCAAGTCGCCGGTAAGCACAAACCCAGATCCATTTCGCATTGTCGTGTAATCAAACTCGGCTTTCTCATCTGCCGCAAAACCTGGTAAGTAGCTGGCCCGAGGCACGAATTATAATTTGGAGCCTGATTCAACCTCGAGTTTCCGACTGCCGTTGGCTGCCAACGTGTCGGAATTGCCCTGGTGGCTTGTGGCCATGCAACCGACAAACGGAAAAAAAAGTCGCTCTCTGGGGTGGCTGTTGGTTAGCCACCGCCACTCGGAGAGCCGCTAGTATTGACTGGGAAAGCAAAACAAAAAAAAATGAGCTACCGGGTTCGCATTGGGTTGCAAAAGCCAGAAACCCCCACCCCCTGTATGACGTTGTCGACTAGATTAGTCTACCTGTATGTTAGTTCTTCTCTACAAGCACCTATCTCCGGTTCCTGAGGCTAATGCTTTTAGCGCGCCCAGAGCAGATATACGCGCGGAGTCAACAAGGGGGGTAACGTCGGCTGCCACTGCTTTCAGCAGCGAACCGAGGTGCTGTCAGCCTGTCTACCTGTTTCAGCAGAAGCTTGCATGGTATTCGTTGTTGAGTGCGTGGGGCTAGTTGGGGTGAGGGGCCGATGCCTGATTCTAAGGGGTTGCATTTTGGGCAAACAAAGTTTCGCTAGAGGCTTGCCGTTCCGACCATATTGATAGGGGGGTTGCCACTTATCCCGCAAGGGCTTGAGCATCACCTCCGCTGTTACAATGGTACCCCGCAGTAGACGATGTAACGACAGCCCTGTGAAAAAAAAATGTAATAGAATGCGTGCTACACAGTTGTAAGACTCTGCTGACTACCTTTTACGATATTCTTTCCCAGTCTCTTGGAAGACTCAACAGAATGATTCAACAGGAGAACCTTTGCATGGCTGTAAATGCGTAAATCGATAAACGATCTTCAGTACGCTAGTACCCTTGTGGCAAAACTAGAGTCTCGTTCTGAGCCTCAAACATATGGCGTGCGTGTGCGTGTGGGAAAGACGCGAACGCTTAGGGCTGGGTGACGATCAAGTTTGCCGATGCAGCTCCTCCACAACCGACTTAGGCCGGATCCCATCTTGAAACGATAGACATTCCTTTGTTTAGAAACACCTTGTTTCGATACTCCCAGGGTCCATTTCACCAAACGGGCCACATATCAGCTCATGGATTACCAAAGAAGAAGTATCCGCCCCCCCCCCCGGAGAATTTTGCTTTTCGACAACGGTCGAAGCACAGGTTCGCGACTTTGTTCGTAGCCATAACATGGGGTTGTAGGCGAGAGAAATCTTATGGGATAACCCCTGACATATGTATAGCAAGAAGCGCCACAGTGTTGGCGAGTAAGCTGGTTTCGGTCACTACGTACCAAGCAAATGCTGCTCAGCTCAAAAAATCGAATTTGTTGCAAGCACGCTGCATACACACAGCTACGATCGCCGGGGGCGCCTGCCATCTATTGCCCACTCTGGAAGGCCTCAGCCATCAATCACACCGCAAAGCATGTTTGTGTGTGTGTGTGGAAAAAGTCGTTCGCCTCAAACCAGGCCGTTGCGGGTCGATCTCACCATGTGCGCTAGCGGACCGTCACATTTCTATTTCAGCATCCCTTCGGCAGCGCTTATATCGCAGAGTCAGGGATTGCGGCGCCGGGGGAGGATCCACTGGCCCTATTTTCCCACGCGTGGCTCATGAATCGCCCAGTTGATGTCCCATGCTACTGTCTGTTCCGAAGCATGTCACTATGTACATATAAGTAGACAAGGTGAACAGCTTCCTCACATCCAGCTCTTACAGCATCACAGTCTCTCTTTGATTCCTCCAGCCAGCTTTCTGCTTGTCTCTCTCACTCTCTTTACATTGGTATTCGCCCCGCCTCCATTCCTAATGTATATTCGCAACGTTGTTCTCGCCGGCCTCGCCGCCGCCAGCACCGTGCAAGCCTTCAATGAAACCGTTGAACACGATGGCTGGATAGTCGAGTACCCGGTTCCGGTCGCCCAGAAGAAGCGTACACTGTCCGGTATACTCGGCGTTCTCGAGGGGCTCCTCCCAAAGCCGTCTTCGCCTCCCGCCCAGGGAGGTACTTGCCCCCCCATCTGGACGCAAATCTCCGCCACCCTCACCCAGCAGTTTTCGGCAAACGGCCAGTGCACAGATGCGGCCAGAGCGGCTATCAGAGCGGCATTTCACGATTGCTTCCCGGGAGCTTGTGATGGCTCGCTCATCCTCGCCAATGAGTGCGCTCAGCCGGTGAATGCCGCCATGACGCGCATCTGCAGCAACCTTGCAAACGTTGCCTCGCAGACCAAAGTGGGCGTGGCCGATCTCATCCAGTTCGCTGCTGCACACGCCATCAAGACATGTCCTGGCGGCCCCATCGTCCCCGTCAAAGTAGGCCGCAAGGACTCCAGCGTGGCAAACGACATTGCCATTCTGCCCAGCGGCTTTGCCCGGGGAGACGACCTGGTCCGGCTATTTGGTAATTATTCCTTTTCCACAGCACATGGTCATCCAGTCAAGCTTACACAACTATCCTGTAGGATCCAAGGGGTTCTCGCCCGTCGACCTTTCCGCTCTCATCGGCGCTCACAGCACAGCCAAGCAACAGGGCACCGATCCGGCGCGCGCGGGTGCAGCCCTCGACACCACGCCCGGTGCCTGGGACGTCAAGTACTACAGCGAGACGCTTGCGGGAACCGCTCCTTTTACCTTACAGTCTGACAAGAACATTGCACGCAACCCTGCTACGGCCCAGTCCTTCCAGCAATTTGCAAGGAGCCAGGGAGCGTGGAACGCTGCTTTTGTCCCGGCCATGGTCAAGATGAGCATGATGGGTGTAAATCCCGCTGGCTTGATCGACTGCACGAGCGCGCTTCCTGGCGGTAACAGGAAGAGGGAAGAGGAGGAGGAGGAGGAGGAGGAGAGGACCATTTTTGGTCGTCTGAGATTCTAGATCTTGACATGCCAACTTGCCATTTTTCCCTTCATCCACATTACGACTGTTTCCTGTTTGTTATATCGTCTACTGTGCGATTTCTTTTTTTTTCCCCACTTACTTACCTCAGCCTTTTACCTTTTTACCTTTCACGACTCTCGTTAATTGTAGTTGAATCATGTCTCTGGATACCATTGATTCTGCACCTCAGATACAAAATAATCTTTACTTTATTTATTTATTTATTTATTTACAAAAAAGAAAAGAATGGTAATCCTAGTTCTTTTCAACCAAGACTTTGCCCAAGATTGATGTAAAATATGTGATTCGAGCACGAAGAAATCAACGCCGAGTGAGTAATCTACGTGTATTTCCCTAATGCCTACGTACATACATGTAGCAGGGTTAGGGGAAGAAGAAGAAGAAGAAGAAGTAGAAGAAGAAGAAAGCAAAAAAGGGGACAAATTGTATATACAACAACACTAACAACAAATGACACTACAAAAAAACAGAGGGATAAACAGTTAATCAACCAAGTACTCCTCCATCTATCCAACAAGGTACACACACACACACACCTACAAGTCTACAAGTCTGCAAGCCAGTCCAAAAACCCACACCAGACACAGACATAAACCCCAGTCCCCTACCCCCCTACCCCCCTACCCCAACACCAAAAAAAACACACACATAGACAGCCAGAAAGAACAGCGATGAATTTTTTTTTTCAAGAACAAGCTACTAAAAAAAAACTCCTATATACTCCTACTATACTCCCCCCTCCCCCTCCAACACACACACAGACACACACACACACACACACAC